CCAGCTTGCGGGACTGGCCTAGGGGAAACTTTTAGAGGGGGTTTTAATTATAATTTTAATTAGACCAATTACTAATATTTCCCTTTTAATTAACTTTTTAATCTGTAGTGTGATATTTTTGTATTTTTATCCGGTTGTTAGCCGCCCTGAGTCCGCAAGGAGAAGGGCGGGATATAAATCTAAAAAATAAATAAATAAAATAAATAAATAAATGCGTGAGCAAACTTTTCTCCGTGTCTCCAAAGGCTTAATATTTGGGGCAGCCAACGAAGTCCAAGGGCAGGAAAATCTAGGCCGGGCTAACCGGGCGCAGAGGGGAAAGAAACCCCAAGGCTGAAGCAGGCAGGGGACAAACTCCTGGCCCTTGACTGCCGTCCCACCGGGGCCTGGTTTACGCTGTGCCCGGTTCCTTGGAAGGGAGCGGTAAAAATATTCCGATCCAGGAAGGCAAAACCGTTGGCACTGATGGGCCTCTCTGGAATTTGGAGAAGGGGCTGTGGGTGCTTCGAGGAAAGAAATGCTGGGGGGGGGCTCCCCATAACAAAAGGGCTGCCATGGGGGACGGGGTCACTTCCCACCATCTATTACAATGCCACCAACCTCTTATTATTTAATCCCTACAAGTGGCTTCCTTCGGCCCTTTGCCTGCCTTTGCCCCTGTTCTGGGCGGAGGGTCCACTCCCAGACTATTGTTTGTTTCTGGGGCTCATTTAAAGATGGCCAACGTTATGTAGAAGCCGGCCCTCTGCTTTAGGGCAAGCCAGCATCCCGTGTTTTAATCATGTGCAACCGTTTCTGCAGAACGTCAGAAGGTCTGAAGAGGAGAGCCATGGGAGGGGGTCTGCAAGGTTGCCGGCCCTTCCAGGCGCCATGCTGAGAAACCCAGATGCAGCCCTCCCTTCACTGAAAGCCGCCTGGAGTCACGTAAAAGTGAGATGAGTGGCTATGTACGTCAAAGGAATGAAATAAAGAAATCCTCCCTGATGCACAAGGACACGCACACAGACACAGACACGCACAGACACACAGACACGGTTTATATAATGCCCGTCCCTCCTTAGTTAACACCACCCTTCTTCATCCTGCGAGGGGCAACCTCTGCACTGATCGGTGGGCACAGAAAGTCCCAGGAAACCTTCTTTGGCCGCTGCTGAAGGCCCAGCCGGTGTCATCTGAGCGGCCTCCGGAGGGTCTTCAGGAAGTGCAGCGGGAGCCTGGGAAAGTGGCCCCTGATAAGGACAGCTGGGCTGGGCTGGCCAGCCTTGCCCTCTTGGCCCGGCTGTCTGCAGCCGAGAACGCTGCGAGCCAAAGGAATCGCGGGAGGGCTGCTGGGCACGGAGGCTCCCCTGCCCTCTTTCCTCTCCCGCCTGGTCAGGCCATTGTGCCTGGATAATTAAATAAATAAGATCAGGTCCTGCAGTCCCGTATAGCCGTTCAATGGCATCCAAGGGGGATCAGATAGCTTCATGGAAAAGAAGGCTGTTAGTGGCTGTCCTGGCAGTTACATGCATTTATTTCAAAGTTCATTCTTCGGATCAATAGATTTCAGGGTAATCAAATACAATTAGTAAAAGCAATAAAACATGCATATATACGCACCCATCATGCTTCTTCCTTTCAGAATGAGCAATATTATATAAAGATAAGCAAAATAAATTAAAGGCAAAAGACAAGATATGGTAATCTAACTAAATAATTTACATTAGCCACTCCACATCTTTCTGCTTTAACAGATATTCATATTCTACCATTTATTCCTTTTACCTCTCTCTTCTTGTAGATCTCACCAAGTCCAGTTAACCAATTTATGTCTTCTTCTTTTTTTAATGGTTGGATCATTCAATCTCTCCCTATGACCCAAATGCTTCAGTACACACAAATCAGCCATTCCTCTGCTCAATCCACATTCACCACCTGTTAATCTTTCTCCTCTTCTCTTTTTACTATAGGCGCCTCTGAGGCCCACCGGTCCCACCGCCTCCTCCGCACAAATTTTGTTTCTGCTGACATTCCCAACTGTCTCCTTCACGTGACAAAGAGCTCCCATAGACAGCAATCTTCATAATTTTGAGAAGCATCAAATCCTTGCAACAGATCAATATTACACTCCACATACTATGTTTCTACTAGAATTTACATATCTTAAAATTCAACATTGTACTATTTATTGTATTATGACCCTCAAAACGAGCTAATTCATTAGTCAGAGCAGTTCTTTTATCTTTTCCTGACTGGGGACTAATGGTTAAGTGAACCCTGTTCCTAAATCAGAGCTAATCCTGCTAGTTTCTCTCTTTTCTCCACCCATTTTGCTCCCTCTTCACTCCTGATAAGGAAGAAGGTGAGAAAGGGGGGGGGGAATGAGAAAGAGGGATACGGAGGAGGACTCTGAGGGAGAAGAAATCTCCTGCTCTGTTTCCTGCTAAGCCCCTGAGGGCGGGTCTTGTCCCAGACTGTCTTCCCCAGCAGCTCCACTCGGCTTCAGAAGAGGAACTGGGGGGGGAGGGTGTGTGACCTACCTGTTTCAGAAGTAAAGCCGTGGCTCCCGCCGTGCTCCTGCAGAGATCCCAGACACAAACCACGGAGCTGCTTCCAGAGGTGACGAGGGTGCCGGGGGTGGGAGACACAGCGCAGAGACAGTCGCCCCAGTCAGCGGGGGCCTCCAGGACGGTCGGCCTCTGCTCGGACCAAGCAGCCAGCAAGGCAGGACGGAAGCAGAGAGGAGCACAAGGGAAGAGTGAAGCCCACACTTACTTATATGCTTACTTATTTCTCTGGGATTTTCAATGGGTTAAGTAAAGGATACTTTTGTGTGTTTTAATAAAATAGGCTTTAAAAAAATAAATACAAAAATAGTTGAAGAGCAAATATGAATTTTGAAACAATACTGTTTTTGCCAGTTTTTTCTATAAAATGCGGTCTACCAAATCATTTTTGAATACAAAGTCTGTGCCTTCTTCCTGCAGCCTCCACTGATACTGGCTTCTTTGTCCAAGTCACGAACGCCAGTGAAAAACCAACAAACAACTGACAATATCAAAACACTAATGAATTCATAATAATGAATACATTCCTTTCAAAATATACTCAGAACATTTCATACCGCTTATTAACCGGAAAAATGCATCCATCCTATCTGCTGCTGAAGGAGGGAAGGAGGTTTCCCCACTCATCTAGCAGTGCTGTAACTTGTCTTCCTTTCAGCATTTCACGCAAGCTTCTCTTTTTACACGAGGCTGGGGTTCCCGGTCGCCTGGCTTCCCCACCCAGAGGAGGTCAACAGGAGAGCCCTCCACACGGTGGCCGGAGGTGTGTCACTCCCCCGATTGGCCACCTGTCTGAGGTCTGGTGGGCGGGAGTGGCTTGTAATGCACTGCCCAACAGGTAGCAATCTGTAGTTCACTATTACCTTGTCTGATCCAGAATCAGCCAGACAGCAGGTGAAGTCACTGAATCCCCAGGAAAAGATTTTATTCCACAGTGGAGGAAGCAAAATACTTTTCTTCTCCACAGCCAAAATCCCCTTTTCTGTACATACAATATGACCAACAGGCCCTTGAGGTGCCTCTACGGAAGAGAAAGAAAACAGCTTTAGAACACATTTTACAGAGGGGAAAAAATCTGCTACTTGAATTTGTTCCAGAAAGTTTTGTGCCAGCGGATGTCTAGAATTCTCTTTCTGCCCCAGTTCCCCTCTTAGAGCTGCCAAAGTTGAGAAACTGCTCTAAATGCCAAAAGAAAAGTGCCCCGATCTAGAAGTTATAATGCTCTTTGTGCACAGTTTATCCAGTCTATACCTTTGGGAATAACTGATGTCAGTTTCAGGTTGTACAGATTACTGACAGAGAGAGCCGGAGAAGGAAAGAGGAAGCTGTCTTTCCCCACTGAATGTTTCTTCAGGCTCACAGCGTTTCTGGAGGAATGTGGCTTCGTAAAAAGCTGAGAATGAAAAAGAACCATAAATGAACAAATTACATCAAAGCAATGGATTCCGTAAAGTAACCTACACATGCACCAGGAGCTCCACTGTACGGAAAATATTTGTTTCCTTACAAATTACTTTTTACTTTTCAATGCAAAGGAGTTATGGTAGCAACCAAAAATCTCTGAAAAAGTTACAGTAAGCACAGTATTAGCCTAATAAAGCAGAAATTAAAGCTCTACATGAATTAAAATAGTAAAATCATATTGTGTCACGGGGAGGGAACACCATGCTTCAGGCGCTGATGAGAAGGAGGGAGCGATCCCTGCTTTCCCTCAGGAAGGCCAGCGAGGAAGAAGAGGCCAAGATGACAATTACAGAATGACACTGAGCACTGATCAAGCCCAGATCGGAGAATTACTCAAGATTTGGTCTGAGAACAGCCTTTCGCCATGAAAACACCCCGCTGCCTCTCCACCACCTTCGCTTCTGTTCAGCTGGGCTTCTGGGGTCGATGAGTCCTGTGTTCTGGTAACACTCCGCAGCTTTGCCTTTGGCCAGAGCAAAACGCCCCTGATGCCCCCAATGCTTTAGATGGCAAAGCTGTCGCTAGTTAGCGCCAGTAGAGAGAAATGGCTCCTTAGCAGATAATTTGGGGTTCTTTGCTTGGAGAAATGCACTAACTGCTTGGAGGCTAGAAATGCACTGTTGACTGTCTGGGCCGCGATCCCTGGTCTTTAAGGACAACCTATGCTAGAAGGGGGTGAAGCCTCTTCTGCCGCCCAGGAGGAGAACAATAGGAGCGAAGGAGAACAGCTTCATCTCCACAGAGGAGAATAACTCCCAACCAGATCTCCCCTGTCAAGGGGTCCCTGAGGGGGAGCAGTGGCTCTTCAACGCCAGGTGGCTTCAAAGAAGCGGTGCAGAGAGTGTCACTGGATGAGAAAGTGATGGGAAATTCACTCTAGCATACAGCAATCAGTTTCTGAAAAGTGCCTAAACAGACAATTGCAAACCGCTCCCCACAAACGGTCCACAGAAGCCGCCCACGTGGCTGTAGAAGACCCGAGTTAAGGGTTGGACTTTGGGTCTTGAATGACTCCTTCTAGAGGGAGGAATTAGCTGAAGCTTCCACTTCTTCCCTGAAAGCTGCTTTGGCTGTTTGCCCTTCTTGCAAAAGCTGATCTCCACCGACTGTGTATCTGGACATACATTCACGGTTTTGGCTTGCGGTAATAACTTCATGGAATATTCTAACCCATTAAATGTATTTATGTTATAACATTATTTACGTCACTGTGTTATAACAGACGTGTTTGCTGGAAGGATTGTCTTTGGGCAAGGGAGGCAGCTCAAGCCTGCTTCTATGAGGATACCTCTTGACTGTGTTCTTGCTCTGCCAACACTCAACGACTGGGCATTTCTCAGCACATGAAAAGCCCTTTGCAAACTTGGGAGGAAAAAAGACTCAGGTCCAATGACTGAGCTAAGCAATTAAACAATAGTACTTAATAACTCTGATTACTGATTAGGTGAAGAAAAGCTGATATATGATTTCCAAGTTATCAAAACAAAACAAAATATATTAAAATGGTATTAAACTCAGAGATTATCAGAAAAGTTAGCACATGAATGAAGACAAAAATGGGATCTGCACCCTGACTTGTATCATCTTCTAGAGTCATCCAACCATCGTTGGATAAATTAATATTATATTAATAAAGATAAGTTTTATATTGCTTCAGTGGTGGCTGAGCGATGCCTGAAAACACCAAAACTCAACTTTCTTTTGGCAACCAGGTTACTTTTTCAAGAAATCCCATAACAACAAACCTCAACATGAGATGAAAATAATTTCATTTCCTGCTAATTCTATGTCCGTGGTTGCCCAATGGCACCCTGCCCACGTCTGTATCGTACCTGCTTTGGGATCTGTCCAAAATTGCTGACAAATCCCAGGATGGTGCTCTTGATGAGAGGGTCGCCAATGTTGTCCATTTGTACTTGATCGCTGTAGAAATAGGGGTGGAAGACGTTCGCGGCCTTCACGGCAGCCGAGCCCTGCTGCTTGAAGCCGAAGATCAGGTCGATCCAGTGGTGGAGGTGGCTGCTGACGTAGTCGCTTTCCAGGGCCTGAAACCCAACCGAAGCCACTCAGTTGCCTGGACGGCAGGAAGGCCTCCTATCCCTTCTCACAAAGGGGGGGGATGGGGGGGCTGCAAGAAGCCTACATGTCTGGTTCGTCACAGTGGCCTCATGTATAATGTCCACTTCAAAATACAAAGGCTATGAGTAACGGCTGCAAAAAGGGAATCCTATTTGTTTTCAGAGATTTCGCTTTACCTTTATTTTAGACTAAAACAAGTATGTTATATATATTATCTCTGACTTTGTGGTCCTGATTCCACCAAACCGCCTCTCCGTACAGACCTGCCTGTGCAGCCTAATAAACCGGTGGGGGTTTCCTCCTGCCCAAGGTGGCAGGTCCACGTCGTTCAGCCGGGTCCCGTCCTGCAAGCGTCCTGCAAGGGACAGAAGAGGAGACACTCTGATGGTACAGAGGAATCCACACAAAGATGGTATAGATTAAGTTTAAGAAGCCCTCGACAGGGCACAGCTGGGATTTGGTGGGAGAAGCTGCTGGCAACAAGTAAAAAAAAACTGGAAGGCAACAGTGGAGCAAGATCCTTAGTGATCATCCCAGGTCCAAAACTTGTGGTGTGGACTTCAAGCAGATTTAGCTGCTGAGTTGATAACCGCTGTGATCTGTCCAGTTTTTGTCTAGACAGAATCTGTTGATGAGGAAAAATAGATTTAGCCATGGACAAATACCTCCAGGGTGTTTTAGAAGGGAGGGGTGCTGAGGCAGGAGCACCTTGGCTGCAATTAGAACTATAAAAATGAAAAAAGAGTAGTTTTTAATGGCACATCCAGCCAGCTCAAAATACCAACATTTATTTGCATGTTTGAGCATAGGTTCATCTAGAATGCTTTAATTTTGGTTCTTTCACTCAAGAGGCAAATCCATCTCAATCATTCTGAGACTGTGGAGAGCCTATGATTCTAAACGGAAATCCAACACAGCGGGCGCCTACTCACCAAAGTCAATGTGGTTGTGGTTTGTTAAAAATTCAGGGAGGTAAAAGAATTCAGGTATCAGTTCCCGGACATCCGTCATGTTGTCTCTTGAGGCTGACTCCCAGGTGTTCCTCACGCTGTGGAACATGCGGTCTGCAACATCCAGGTCCCCTCCCTGGTTGAGAGGAGAGGGAGAAGAGAAGAGAAGAGAAGCCATGCCATGCCACCAACCACAGCTTTAGGCCACAGGCCTCCGGGAATCAGCATCCACCAGAATTGCAAGCTGTGATTATGACAAAACATTTCAAAATGGTTTGAAGAGTCAGAACAAAGAGTTTTGGAATGTTTGGACGTCACCCTGCAAGGCAGGTTAGGAGGGAAAGGAGTGAAGCGCCTGGGGACACGGATTCCTTGCCAGCCATTAACCACGAAGGGATCTCTGTGGTGCTTCCGGAGAGTGTGGCGGTGCTGATGTGCACAGAAAATATTGTACAGGTGAACGCAAGCGTGTGGCTTCTCTAAGTTTCAACATAACCTCAAAGCTAATGTTTCCTCAGCAAAGGAACTGAAGCTGAAAAGAGTTTGGATGTTTCAAGAAGGCAATTGCCTAAAATGCATCTCCAAACTCTGCAGAAAATGCTTTAGAGGAAAGAAGGGGGGAAAGGGCTTGAAATGGACTTCAGAGTCCCCAGACCTGAGCACGGATCTCCAAGGGACGCAACGGGCAGGGAGCTGGTGGGGTAACGTTTCCCAGAGAGAAGGGTTTTGCAAGGAAGACTCTTAGCTGGGCGGAGGAAACATTTGCAAGCTGTTATTTCCCCCCCCCCCCCAAAAAAAAAGAATGATACGAAGTATTGACTGGAAGGTGGCTCAGATTGTTGCACCTTCCATACTTCCAAACATTTCATTATTTTGAATCTGCAAACAATTACAGGTTCCCACAGTGAGGCCATCCTTAACTCTGTCCAGGCAGAAGGTCGTTGCATCGGCTGCTGTCCACTTAAGGATTTCTTGAAACTTACAGTCTCATCAGTGATGCCAAAACATTTGCACATAACTGCCCTCCCCACCCAAAGTGAAGCAAATCATGTTCCCAGGTAATCCACGGGGGGGGAGGAGGGTGTTACCCCAAAAAGTAAGAGTTCGCCCCCTTTTCCCTAATTGCACTACTCTCTGCCCCATCCTGTGAGTAAATCTACACCAGTGGGATTGTGCAAGGGAGGGCAAGGAACCGTGAGCAGGTTGGCGGGTGTGTTGCAAAGTCATTGTTGCAGAGGAGTTCATCACTCAGGGGCGGCCTTAGCGGCCCCCGGAGCCATTTTCCAGTTCAAACTAGAGTGAACCGGAAGACGCGTCAGCTCTGCAGAAAGCGCCAGCTAACGAGAGCGTCTCTCCGAAGCCTCTTCGGGGCTCCCTGGCTTTGATCTGCATAGATACAGGAGACTCTGGACAGAGTATGTGACTGACACCTTTTCATCTGCTTTTTCCGTCTTTATGAGAGCTGATGGTAATCTCTAGAGAGACGATGTGATTTGTAATAAAAAGGTTATCTGTATTAAATAAAAATAATATCTACATAGAAAATGTTGTTAGCGCCTCAAATCTGGTTAAAGATATTACCATCCAGAAAAATGTAATTTTTGCAGCTGTCTAATGCATTTTGGAGAAAGTAATATCTCTAAAACGCACGCCTGTTTTATTTATAAAGAAAGCAATAACTGATTTGCAGTATTTCTTATATTAATAACTGTATTTGCATATATTTGTATCAGAATTAGTGGGCTTTCTTTCTCTCAGGATGCCCGGGCTGCACAGGAAAGGAGGGGCGGCTAATTAGTCCACGCAGGAACCCCCCCCCCCCCGGCTCTTCTCTGGGGTCCTGGGTGCGAGGCCTGGGAGCCAAATTTGTTCTCTGAACCTGCAGAACTTAGAGGCGGCAAAGGTTCTGACTGCCTGCTAAAGGGGAAACCTGATCACAGATTTCATGATCACCGCTGGATAAAGCTCCCTTCACGGTGAGTTATGAAACTCAGAATATTCTCCAGCCCAGAGAATTGTTCCTGCAATGCATGAACCTCATTCCTGTTTGCTTCGTTTGCAACTGTCACCTCTCCTACAGTCCATTGCTGTTTTCTTTCTGCCTGTCAGAGTTTTTAATGTTTTAAAAGATTTTTTTTTTTACTTTTTTCTTTAACAACAAGGGAAATTGGAGGCTTTTTCTTTAGCTCATGTTATTGTACAATGTCCCTTTGTTAGGCAAGTCTGCCTCTAGGACGAGGAGGGATCTGCAGATCAAGGTCACAGATTCCTTCCGTATCTTTTGTCCTGTGTCCTGCCTCTGTTAGGCACCGAGGCATCGCTTCACGCTTTAGCAAAGTATATTTAACAGTAGCACTTCATTCATAACATGGTTTCATATTTCTGCTGTTAGTTTAAGCACTACTGGGGCTTTTTCAAAGATACTTTACTTGCATTTATAGTGCTGGAGTGAACTATTCCATTTATTTATTTATTCATTTATTTTGGGAAGCTCTAACCCTCCTCACAGAAACGAAATGCTGCCAGACGACCGTGCCAGTAGTGGTTACCAATTGAAACTGGCGCAAGAGTTTGCCTGACCTTGACCTTGGCTGGTTCAGAAGACCCAGATCAAAGGAAGGGCTCATTCTTGGCTCTCCATAACTGAGGGATGACGGTGCCCAGAGTGTTTGTTTCTGCTGGGCCTTCATGATGTCCCCTCCTCATTCCTCTCCTGTTAATGAAGAAGCTGACCTCCATTCTTAGTGGTCCGTAGTTCTTACCATTTTGAGTTAATTCTCCTTTTCCTTTCCTGATGCTCTCATCCGGTTGACGACTAGTGGTGAGGGACAGGAGAAGCTGCCCGGTTCCTGTCGGGTACTTTACGAAGCTGCAGGGAAATTTCCACATCCACACCAACACCCCACACCCCCACCCGCCACTCCCTGTGCTCCACGGCTATTTTGGCAATGACAATTGGACCCCTGACTTCCACAGAGACTCCTGCAGCCTGAATGCAGTTTCCAAAGCACTCCAAAGCAAGGACTCCTTTCGGAAGAGCACCGGACTGACTTTTCATACTACATGGAAGGTGAATTTAAATCTGACTACTGTTTAATTGCTTTAGGGTAAATTATAGGCTGTTCTGTGGTCTGTGTAGGGTATTTTTTACTGGAAGGCAACAGGAAAAAGACGAATGAAAGAAACAGTCGGGGGGGGGGGGACAGAGAAATTAAGAGCTAATGGGGAAGACTGAGCCTATCGCGTAAATAACTTTCTTGCTGGGCTGTTGAGTTCTCAGCTACCTTAGAAGGCAACGCTCGGCTATGGCTTTTCTGCGTGGCTTCCAGGTTTCTTTAGGCTTGCACAGCTCCTCCCTGCTGCGCGCATCCATTTGCTAGCAGAAGCACCAGGACAGAGTCCCATTGGGGGGGGGGGGCTCATGCAGCTGAAGAGCTCCCAATTTTATCAGAGCCTTTCCCATGGGTACCACCCCGCCCACCCACCCATCCATGTTTGGAAGACCCCACCCCGTGCAAAGTTCAGCCCACCTGCAAAGATCGGAAGGTTTCTGTGAAGGGCTCCAGGCGGACCAGGTAGGAAGCCACAATCATGGCGGAGGAGTAGTGGGTGCAGTAGTGACTCTGAGCCGAGAGGTTACCTACAAACAGGAAAAATCTGCAGTTTATGGACTTCATTTCTGGATAAATCAATTTGTTTTGATTTCTTCAAAATCAAGCAATCCCTGAAATGTGTAATAATGTGTCTTATCAAGCAAGTTTTCATTTGTGTCTTTAACCAAAGCAGGCCCCTGATCAGGGCTGACCGATGGCTCAGGAAGATGCCGGACCAGTCAGTTCTAGTGGGCTACGCTTGCTCATGCCACCCCCACCCCCACCCCCACCCCCACCCCATTCTATCCAGCTCCTAATCTCCGCTCAGTTTTGTGAGGACAACCTTCCTGCTGCTTCCAGTTTGTTCCAGACCTCCTTGCCAAAAAGACAAGGGGGGTGGGGGGGAGCAGGGAGTTGGGGTACAGCATGGTGATGCTGGAAATGAGGTCTGTACCTTCAGTCTTCTCCACTTCTTTGAAGCGCTGGATGAATTTCTCTTTCCTCTCCTCCGTCTGTGCCCCCATGGGCTTGGAAAGGTCACGGAAGGTGCTGGGATTGGCCAGGTCCAGAGCCTGGGACGCAAACGCAACATCGCTTTACCTATCGGCCCAGCGGGGCAGGGGTTCCCGTGGCACACCGGACGCACTTTCTATGGACTGCTATGTCGCTCTAGGGACGTTCTCGGTCAACCTAGCCCCGGTGCAGCCGCCTGACCGGGAAGGGGCTCACCTGGGAGTGGTAGTCTGCAAGGACCCAGGGAAACACGGGGTACTGCATGAGGTCGCTGTGGGTCCGTCCCGCCAGGGAGTTCAGGTGCATGAGGTACTCAAAGTTGCCGATCTCTCTCCTCTGCCAGGCCATGAAAACAAGGAGAGTTGGCTCAGTTGCAGGGCTGCCTCCCAGAAAAACGGGCCTATCAGTTACCTCGTTTGCTAAACGTGGTTTCCCAGGACGGCGGCCACTGTCTTTTCAGCTAGTTTCTCCAGCTTTCTTTTGTGCCTTTTCCTGTGGATGCCTGTGGTCACGTGTGGGAAGAAAAACAGCCTCCCTCCCTCCCCTTCCAGGAAACCTCCTGCTCTGGACACCCACCCCAGCCTAGCCTGATCCACCCACCACGAATGGAAGGAAAGGGCGAGAGAGGAGGAGGAGGAGGAGGAGGAGAATGACGCCAAGGGCTAAGCGGATGAGATCCCCCCTGCCTGATGGCAGCTCCTAGACCAGAGGCCCCCAACCTTTTAGGCACCAGGGACCCGTTCTGTGGACAGAGGTTTTTCCACGGACCGGAGGGGGGTGGTTTTGTGTGCTGTCTGCATCCCACGGATGGGGCTTTGCTTGTTTGTGCGGACCGGTTGCTGGCATGCTGCAGCCTGGTACCGGTCCACGGACCGGGGGTTGGGGACCCCTGTCCTAGACCTCTTGGGAGGCCAGCGCCCCAAGCCCATCGATCGGCACTTTTCTCATAACCCATGAGCTATAAAATCAGGTATAAAACTGTGGCTTTTGCTCTTATTGTTGTTTTATATATAATTATCACAGGGCTCAGTTTTTGAGCATATGCTGCATGGTCCATATGGTGAAAGAGGGCTGCAAGAAGAGGCGCTCGCAATTCCGTATGAGCTTCCAACGGTTCTCCCGGCTCCAGTTGGGAAATAGGCTTAAATGAGGATGCGAGAGGGGCCCATTCTGGTAATAGGTTCGATTAGGAGCTGATTTCCAGAAGCTGCTGCAAAGATAGAACTCAAATATTTCTCCCAAACGTCTGCTAAAATTCCACAGTCGGTTGTGGGTCCACTGTGTAACAAACCCCCTTCTAATCTAATGCCAAAAATTGGCAGAATTTTGCAACGTAACAGCTGATATTATTTCCTATCAATTGTCTCTCAGGGTGTTCATTTTTTTCTTTCTAATGAAGGCTTTATATTGTATTTTTTGCCGGCTCAGTGTTTGTGGAGGAACGGGGCAGTTTTCCCCCCCTCCCTCGAGTGCCTTGTAGCCGGGGCTTTTTTGTCTTCCTGCATTCAAGATTAAACCCACACTTAGAGTTGGGACACCTGCAACATCTCCAAATGTGCCCTTGACACAAGGGGTTCGAATTAGTATCCAAAATTGCTCATCAGCTATTTCTGATTAATCGGCTGATATCGTTGCTAACTTAACTTGGTGAAACCTGAATCTAGTCAAAAACCAAACTCATCTCCTGCCCAAGGAAGACCACCAAAGCCTTGGATCGCCCTTTTCTACCAGATAAAGCTGGATTCGAATCAACCAGTTGAAAGTTCAAGTAAGGAGCTTGCTATTTGGGCAAAGCGTATCCCATATATCACAACATCCATCGTTTGATTCCAACCCAAATTATAATTATCCCCAGCACTCATTATCCAGTGATATACTATCAAACCATACATACAACCTCTAGTGCCGTTTGAACTCAACGAAGCATGGAAGTCTCCTGCTATGACAGCAGCTGCTTCTGAATGAGCCCACAAAAATAGGCCTTTCCATCACTCCAAATTATCCCAAGCCACGGTAGAGGAGTGCAGATATTAACAACTGGGAAGTGTTTCATCTGAATATGACTAATTAGGAACAAATTGGCTCAGGACTGTAATCCAACGAGGAAAACTTTGTTTGGGACAAAGATGTGTGGGATATCCCTTTGGCCAAATTTCATGGGTGCCGGAAGTAGCTTCAAGCCCAGGAGAGGCAGCCCTTTCATTCTAACGTAGCTCAGGACTTCTGACACACAAGTAGGCAGCACCCTGGATCGGGCCGGACAGATCAAGAAAGGCAGTTTCTAACAAGCAGGCAAAGATTTTAGGACCCACTCTCACCCCCCCCCTCCTCCTCCTCCTCTTCCTCCTCCTCCTCCACCACCACCACCACCACCTCCTCCTCCTCCTCCTCCTCCTCCAACTCCTCCAACTCCTCCAACTCCTCGCCAGACTCAGAGGACTCCCATGCTTGCTTCCTGGCTTTGCACATAAAATTCTTAACTCTATGGCTTATAGAGAAATAGCATTATCCTTCCTGGCTCAGATGTAGAGAGTGGAGCACTTTTTTGTAAAGTTTGGTATGCATAGAATACTCAACTGTGAAGAAAATAATCTTAAGAAATTAATTGATGGTGAATGGATTGATTTCAGTGGAACAACACCAAAAAAAAAAGATTTTACCTGCCACTTCAACAGCATGGACTTTTTTCCCCCCGACTGTTTTCTGCAAAAAATAAATAAATAAATAAATAAATAAATAAATAACATTGTATCACTCACATTTCCTTTTCTAACGACCACAGAATGGGAACAAAACCCGATTTGTGCAAATCAACCTTGATTTCATTGGAGATCTGAGATTCAAAGAAGACCTGATTCAATTTGTGTCTGAAATCTGAACGCAAACTTGGTCAGCTTAAGCATCCACCTGAGAGCAGGCCCTGCTCCCTCAGCAGCACTGATGCTGCTGCCTAGTCTGGGCCGTGAAACGTCTGCAAGAAAACCACCCGGCTGAGAGAGCAGCCAGGACCCCTCAGTTCAACCCTGAGCTGCCAATATTCTCCTCTATCAAAACTGTAAGACCACTGCAGTCACCAGATGCTATGCTTAATGACCATGTCTCTTAGCACAAGAGACCATGTCTCTTACCAGTCCTAACTGTGGTCATTAAGTGAGGACTTAATGTATGCAGTACAAATGAGGAAGAAGTGGGGGGATTTGGGCTTGGCAATGGTGTGTGTGGAAAGGATTTCAGAACCGCAGCTGACCCCGAGATACCTGAGGCTCAGCAGCGTGACCTGGCCTCAAACAGGCCACCCCTTTTCCAGAGGGTGGGGGCTCCTCCTCACCGGAAGGGTCCAAACGGAAGCTGGACAGCCATCGGTGGAAGGGCCCTGCGGTGACGCTCTGCTTGCATGGAATGCAAATGAACACGCTTGCTGCAGCATTCAGACATGTCTTGTCTCTCCACCGGAGAAGAAGACGCTCTCTCTTCTGCTGCGGTGTCACTGGGACTAGAGCTCCGCGATGATCTCACAGACATGGTGGAGCTTCTTGCAGGCCACCCTGGAATGGTTCCAGCCCCAGTTCGCCAGTCCGGAGCCCCTGGCTGGGGCTGAAGGCACTTTCTGTTAATAGGGAGGGGCTGGTTTCCCAGGCCCGGGAGGTGGAGCTGGCCTGGCTGGGCTGCCTTTGAACTTGCCCGTTGGCAACGAGGCCCGTGTTGTGTGATCTCCAAGGGCTTGGGATTTCCTGTCGCTTAGATACCGAGTTTCACAGGCGGCATCACAACAGCTGACAACAATATCACAGGAACAGGGTAAGTCGTCCTCTCTTGAAGCAAGCAGATCGGCAGTTGTTTTAAATTGCTGTTTCAGTTTTAGAATTTGTGGGCCAGCAAATATCAAATGAGAGTTTTCCATGCAGTTCAAAGATTTATCTCCAAACACTGGCAGAGAAATTCAATCAGAGAAGAGTCTTGGAAGAATGGGTTTGCCAAAAAAGCATGAGGCCAGGCAATTTCTTAAAAATAAATAAATAAATACTTGTTTTCTTGTTGATTCTCTGTGTACAGTAGAATTTACAAGTCCGGATTGGGAACTGCAGGCTCCATTTAATTTAAAGCAGCCTGTTATTCGGAAGTAGAGCTATTGAAGCTCTACCGCAATCTAGGAATTTCAGCCATCTGGTGAGGCTGCAAGGAAACCTTTAAGGCTTACACCACTCTTGGGTTAGACAGGCGCTCCAAACGGGCTGCAATCCTTAGTAAGTGCCACGTATTGTGGAAGTTTTGCTGACAGCTGTGACCCCGAGGAAAGCCCCTCTGAATCCTTTCTTGGCCACTCTGGTTCAAAAGTGATTGCACAGAAGAAAGGAAAAATTTGCCAGCTCCCAGAGACAGTTTTCCAGAGTTTAGGATTTTGACAGTTCACCTGTGACTTTGAGGGGAAGTACCTGCTGTGTGCTGGGTTAGTGATGCTAGCATTTAAACTAACACTAAGTCTACAAAGGAGAATTTCCCAATATTTTATTGCCTAATTCAGAAATCTTGACTTTTTTGACCCCAGCCATAGAGCTCCTGGCACACATCCATTCCTCCTGGTGGTTGCCTGTTAATCTACATCTGCACAAACTCACTAAGCAGCGTTAGGGCAGGAGTTAGACTAATTCTTACTCTCTTTGTCCATCTTATTAATTTTGATTAAAAAGTGAGCAATTAAAAGATCAAAGCAGATTTCAGATGAAGTGAGGCGTTTGTAAAAAGTTTTTCTAATACTTCTAAAACACTCTCTCCTCAGTAAAGTCGCGGCAAGCCTGGCCAGAACATGACCCAAGAATGCCTTCACCCACCTCTTTTTTCCTCTGAATTTTAGGGCGAAGGGAGGAACCCGGCCCAGACAACCACACCCACACCCACACGTGTGTTGTTCAGGTGGGTTACTGAGACAAACGCAAAGCCATCGCTTCCCTCTGATCTTGCTGGAGGTCCCTGGAGTTGCACATGATTAATGAGCAGTCAAAAAGCCTGAAGCGCTTGTAACGGGAGCCTTCTAATGGAGAAGTGTGTTCTAAACAAATCTACATTCTTTTACAAACAATCATTTATCAAAACAGCGATTTGACTCCTCACAATTAAATGTGGAGAGTTTGGATCGGCTGGGGATAAGCCGACCGGAACCTCGGCTCTCCCAAAACAGCCACCAGCTTATCCCTGCTTGTTTCCTGGCCTCTTCTCGGGGGGGGGGGGGGGGGGGGGGCGGCTGCTTCTTGAAAGCTGTCCTGCCCTCGGACCCCTTGAGGGACCCGCCTGTCCAGAGGAGCCACGCGGAAGGCCAAGCGTGAGGCACCCTGGCATTGAATGGGGGGGGACAGCTGTCAGGAGAGCAAGCAAGGAGGGGCTGTACAGGGAGTCCCTGCCTTAAGATGGCAATGGGGATCGCTAAGCAATGCAGTCGTAAAGCAGGACGTCACACAACCGCATCGCTTAGCAAAAGAAATCCCGGCAGTCATGGTGGCCATTGTCACCCCAAGCCACGTGGGTCATCATGCGGGAAGCTGGGGGAGTCCCAGGTAAGAAGCGTGGGGGGGGGCGTGGGGGGGAGGTGTTAGGATTAGGGCAGCCCTCCCCCCCCAAAGCATTCTCCACCTGACTGCTTCGTCAGGGCTGGGCAGACTGGTCCAGGGGAGCTCTGACCAAAGCAGGCAGAGGAGATAAATGTCCTAAAATAGGTGATGTGTTGTGAGGCGGCTGTGATGCCTGTCAGCAGTGGCCAACGACCTCACAAATGCACCCTTCTGGTGGCCTCCCCAGGCGCAAATGCCCAGGGCAGGCTGGGGGAACCTGGAGGGCCAGGTGAGTGACGCTGCCGCTGGGGGGTGGAGGAATCAGCCAGAAGCAGTGAGAGGGTCCTGCCCTCCTCGGCCTCAGGCAGCAGAGCCTCTGGGGGGGGGGAGGGAGGGTAGCCACGCTTGCTTTATGTTTGCTGTTATCCTAATATTTAGCGGTCTCCAACTCTCCAAGCCTGGCAATCCGCCTCAAGTAACAAGGCTACGCAGGCTAAGGGCAAGGTGTATCCTGGTTTGTGGGACCGTAAAATCTGGTAGAAGTTTAACTTGTCCTTCGCCAGAGATCAGGCTGGGGACTTTGGGCCGCCTGAGGAGGAAAACCTGGCCTTCCGCTCCTGGCGCAGGCCGAGCCGTCTCCCTCTCTCCCTCTCCCTCTCCCTCTCCCTCCCCAGGACTGGGAGCTGGGTGGGAGGGAACGCTCTCGGCAAAGGGACCTCAGCTGGGCTAGGGACGCCGGGCGTAGGCAGAAGGCGCCAATGGCACTTTGATAATGTTTTAAGAAAATAGCATAATTTGTGATGATGTCACTAGGATTCACGTCTCAACTTGAAGTAAACCTTATTTTGACACAGCAAAACTGTCGCATAAACACTGAAATAGATCTAGTATATTTCTAAAAAAGGACCCTTGAAAGCCTTACAAGCTTCTATCTCTGCTCCCCAAGTGGCAGATCCATAATCGGTGATACAGGATTCCCTTCCCCTATAAATCCTTTAATTAGAGATGTACCTCCTTACTTTGCTACAGGGAGCAAAAATCAGCCCCGAATTGCTGTACGTGAGGAATGTAAAATAAACCATGGTTGACACCTACGTGAGCCAGTATTTTTCCTTTCTGTTGAAAATGTACATGCTCCCACTGAATTTGTCTAATGAAAGGANGAGGGACCCGCCTGTCCAGAGGAGCCACGCGGAAGGCCAAGCGTGAGGCACCCTGGCATTGAATGGGTAAAGGCGGAGAGCAGCCGGGGGGGGGACAGCTGTCAGGAGAGCAAGCGAGGAGGGGCTGTACAGGGAGTCCCTGCCTTAAGATGGCAATGGGGATCGCTAAGCAATGCAGTCGTAAAGCAGGACGTCACACGACCGCATCGCTTAGCAAAAGAAATCCCGGCAGTCATGGTGGCCATTGTCACCCCAAGCCGCATGGGTCATCATGTGGGAAGCTGGGGGAGTCCCAGGTAAGAAGCGTGGGGGGTCGTGTTAGGATTAGGGCAGCCCTCCCCCCCCAAAGCATTCTCCGCCTGACTGCTTCGTCAGGGATGGGCAGACTGGTCCAGGGGAGCTCTGACCAAAGCAGGCAGAGGAGATAAATGCCCTAAAATAGGTGATGTGTTGTGAGGTGGCTGTGATGCCTGTCAGCAGTGGCCAACGACCTCACAAATGCACCCTTCTGGTGGCCTCCCCAGGCGCAAATGCCCAGGGCAGGCTGGGGGACCCTGGAGGGCCAGGTGAGTGACGCTGCCGCTGGGGGGGGAGGAATCAGCCAGAAGCAGTGAGAGGGTCCCGCCCTCCTCGGCCTCAGGCAGCAGAGCCTCTGGGGGGGGAGGGTAGCCACGCTTGCTTTATGTTTGCTGTTATCCTAATATTTAGCGGTCTCCAACTCTCCAAGCCTGGCAATCCGCCTCAAGTAACAAGGCTACGCAGGCTAAGGGCAAGATGTATCCTGGTTTGTGGGACCGTAAAATCTGATAGAAGTTTAACTTGTCCTTCGCCAGAGATCAGGCTGGGGACTTTGGGCCGCCTGAGGAGGAAAACCTGGCCTTCCGCTCCTGGAGCAGGCCGAGCCGTCTCCCTCTCTCCCTCTCCCTCTCCCTCTCCCTCTCCCTCCCCAGGACTGGGAGCTGGGTGGGAGGGAACGCTCTCGGCAAAGGGACCTCAGCTGGGCTAGGGACGCCGGGCGTAGGCAGAAGGCGCCAATGGCAAACCACTTTGATAATGTTTTAAGAAAATAGCATAATTTGTGATGATGTCACTAGGATTCAAGTCTCAACTTGAAGTAAACCTTATTTTGACACAGCAAAACTGTCGCATAAACACTGAAATAGATCTAGTATATTTCTAAAAAAGGACCCTTGGAAGCCTTACAAGCTTCTATCTCTGCTCCCCAAGTGGCAGATCCATAATCAGTGATACAGGATTCCCTTCCCCTATAAATCCTTTAATTAGAGATGTACCTCCTTACTTTGCTACAGGGAGCAAAAATCAGCCCCGAATTGCTGTACGTGAGGAATGTAAAATAAACCATGGTTGACACCTACGTGAGCCAGTATTTTTCCTTTCTGTTGAAAATGTACATGCTCCCACTGAATTTGTCTAATGAAAGGANGTGATACAGGATTCCCTTCCCCTATAAATCCTTTAATTAGAGATGTACCTCCTTACTTTGCTACAGGGAGCAAAAATCAGCCCCGAATTGCTGTACGTGAGGAATGTAAAATAAACCATGGTTGACACCTACGTGAGCCAGTATTTTTCCTTTCTGTTGAAAATGTACATGCTCCCACTGAATTTGTCTAATGAAAGGAGCATATAATGCTTTCCTCAAATGTTTGTTATAAACATACTGGCTAGCTCCTTTTGGCTACAATAAAAAAATCCTTTTACTGGCTGGCTATAATCCATGGGTTTGTGGCAGTTCTACTTGCTGCTTTAACCACAGAGATGAAACATGAAAACATCTGATATTAAAGTATGCCAGAGGATTGTCTATCATGTGTAAATTAGTGTCACTGAAAAGTAATTATTTGAATATGACTTTAATTCATATATTCTTAGGTACAAATTGCCTTCCTTTGCTTTAGCCAGTGAATGAGCCATGGATGGCCTTATAAACTATAAATCTTACTCCCTGAGCTGGTACAGCAGTTGTAATTCCAAGCCAATTACAGGTCCAAACTACACCAGTTCCAAACAACAACAGTTGAAACCGCAGGCTGTGCTGGTAGCTGTACAACTTTTGTTTCATTTAAGACCCCTTAGAATAAAAGAATATTATTCTACTTCTATAACAGGCTTTGAAATGATAAACACTTTCCAATTAAGATCACTGCAGCAACTCTTTGAAATACTAATCCATGCATAATATAATATTTTCAAAGTGTTCGTGAACCTACTAGTAAGATAGATTTGAAAGTCACTTTATAGATGATATTTGCTTCCCTAAGCTTGCCTAGCTGTGAGGAAAACAATGTACACATTTGTACAGATATCAGTTAGGACACGTAGAGATGACAGAGCACATATTTACAGAAAAAGTATTACCATGAGAAGCAAAGTATTACCAGTTATCAAGATCTTGATGCCCAACCCATTTTAGCAGCTCCCTCCCACCTCAAACAGGTGGAGGGAACAGGAGCCTTTCTGCTCTCCGTCTCCCCAGCGTCCCTCTGCAACCGGCCTCAGCAGCCCTGCAGGCTGGGCAGGCGGGCTCTGGAGGAAGGGCCCCCTCTCCTGGTTAACTCTGCTGCCCGTCTCTTTGCAGGCTTCTAAGGTCCAGCCTCGAGCGCCACCTGCACACGTCACCGGGACACCTTTCCATGCCCTCTGAGGGGCCCCGTTTCCAGCCAGAGAGATGGCCAAGGGAGGAGCCAAACCCCCCAAGGGGAAGAAGGTCACCTTGAAGGTGGCCAAGACCTGTATCAAGATCACCTTTGATGGGAAGCGCCGTCTTGACCTGAGCAAGATGGGCATCACAACCTTCCCCAGGTGCATCCTGAAGCTGGAGGACATTGACGAGCTGGACCTGAGCAGAAACATGATTAAGAAAATCCCGGAGGCAATCGATAAATTCCAGAACCTGCGCTGGCTGGACCTGCACAGCAACCAGATTGACAAGCTGCCGGAAACCATCGGGAACCTGCAGAACCTCATCTTCCTCAACCTCTCCAACAACAGGCTGACGGCCCGCAGCTTGCCCATGGAGCTGAACCAGCTCAAGAGCCTGCGAAACCTGAACCTGGGCCTCAACCACATTGACAACCTCCCGACCACCCTGGGGGCTTTAAAGGAGCTGCAGGAGGTTGGGGTCTTCGACAACCTGCTGACCCTTATCCCGAACAGCGTCGCAAAGCTCCCCAAGCTGAAGAAGCTCAACGCCAAGAGGAACCCCTTTCCTGGACCCACCGAAGAGGAAATCTTTATTGATAACATCAAGCGCCTGGAGACGCTCTACTTGGTAGAAGAGAAGGACCTTTGCCCCCCGTGCCTGAGGAAATGCCAGGATGAGAGGGACAAGCTCAACAAGCTGAAGAACACGGTGCCCGCCCCCCTCAGAAAGCCCAATTTCTCAAGCCTCATGACCCCCAACTCCCTGGCAAAGGAGAATCAAGCCGAGTGGAGGTGAAGAGGCCGCCAGGCCCATCCCCACCCGAGCCACTCAGCGCAGGGCAGAGGTGGGCGGCCCGACAGAGCGACTGTGCGTCCCTTCCTGAGGAACGATCCCAACCAATAAAACAGCCCTGGGTCACATGGGACTTCTATGATGCTCGCAGACCTGTGTCAATCCAGCCCACATTCCCATAGGAAGAGATCAGGATCTAAAATCTTTTCATCCCCAGCTTCTCTCCCGCTTGCCCCTGGAAGCAGGCCTCAGGGCCTTCCGATAGGGGCCACCGCGGCAAAGGCCTCCCCTCCCCTCTTCTGATCCAACAGAGGTGGGCTGGGCCTTTGGCCCCCAGACACAAGAGGGGCGCCCCAAGGCAGCCCAGGGCTAGAGGCATGCTCTCCCTTCGTTCTCAGAGACATTCCCAAGGTGACCGGCTGCCGGAGGGCAGGATGCTACCACCAAAAGGAAGGGGGGGGGGGCTTTGCCTTTTAGAACCAGGCAAGTTTCCCTTTCCAGTTCAAAACTTGGATTTTGGGAAGAAGAGCCAAGGGTTGTCCCCTGTGTCCTTAACCCCTCCATGACTAACAATACTTAGGAGCTTGAGGTCCTGAATTAGCAAAATCACAGAGGGGTGAAATCCATTCCTCTGATGATTCCTGCTCCTGGCTAAATCCAGTCAGGGCCCAAGGATCATTAGAGAGCAGCCAGGCTGCCTGCTCCAGCATGTCTCTCTCTTGCCAACAGATCACCCAGGTTGCACCTCAACACAGCGAACAACCATTGCAATTCTTTTGGCTCCTTTCAAAATTCTTTAGCTATTTGGCCTAAGAAAAAAATCCCTAACTGCATTTTGAATTTTACAGTATTTTGGTAGCCCTTTGATTGTGAACCTTTAACATCATATCAACCGTTGAAATGTTCCTGGGTGTGGGCCTGTTCCTCTTCTTGCCTCGCTTGCAAGAGTTAATGCTGGCAACTTTGGTAATTGCATACAGAAATTACTATTTTAAATTGTCCTATTTTATGCCTCAGCTCAACCCATAATGGAGTTTTGCAGTTTCTCTGTATCTTAAGAGTGTCAGATGAATTAGTACATTGAGAATTTCCAAATGAGTTGCTTCTCTAGCGTTTAAACACAACATGGGCCAGGACACAAAGCCTTCAGAAAATTCAAAGGACGCATCATTGCAAGCAGAAGGAAAGAGGTTTACATCCTGGGGCCACAGACAGCATTTGGGTTATGAAGGTGGATAAGCGATGCCTCGATCATTTGCAATCCGGAGTCACAAGACTCTGCCGTGCATGCAGAAGGGGACTCTGCAACTCAGGTTATGGAGATATGTTGCACATTTGTTATGTTACCAGTTGTGAGGGTCTTTGGATTACGCTGCCACTATCACATACTGGGCGGCCCCTACTGTCAGTCCCCCTAGGTACACCAGACCAGGAAAACAACTCCACAAGAAGGCTAAAACTACATTAGGAGGTTGGCCATAATAACAGAATATGGAAAACCTGGTTGTGCTGTTCTTCCTCTTTCTCCTCCTTGCAGTTAAATGAATTCACGACATGTCTTTGTGGGAGCTGCTTCCAAGTGTTATCATGATGTTCAGGGCTTGAAAAAGTTTCAGCCCCCTTTGCCTCGGCTCTAGCATATTTCCATCCAGGTCATCCCTAATCTCTACTTCTGTTGAGCCATTTCACATAGACCTAGCGTCTATTGTGTACCCTCAAAACTCTTATCTGAAAGCAACAATGTGCCAGCACTCAGATGTCTAGCATTTAGTCCTTGCGTGCTATCTCATGTGCATATGAGAACTAGTCAAAAGAACATCATGGATTATCGATATGGACATGCATGACCCCGAGTCACATTTATGCAGGACATTTGACCGTCTTCTATAAAAACCAAGCCACTTCTGCACAGAGCGTGTCCCTACAGAGCGTTCCCTACAGAGCGTGTCCCTACAGAATTTCCTCTCAAAGGAGCAGCCAAGGAGTTCCAAAGCACATGAGGCACTCCTTCCTCACATACCAGGGATGCTGCTTTTGACATGAGGTTTCTGGGCCATAAGAAAATGCTGGGCATAGGCAAAAATTGGAATGTAATAATCATAAGTCATTCAAGGAGCAATGAACTTCTGTGCTATGATGAACATATAGCTTCTCAAAACCATTTTAAGAGGCAAACATAAATTAAATCTACAGCCAATAATTTTGCAAATTTGTCTGCTAACTAGTGCAAATACAGGGATCACATTATCTCTGTACTGTCAATTTAAGATCCTAGCCCTGAAAGTCCTAAATGGCTTAGGGTCTCGTGTTTTAAACCTAGCTAGTTGTTAAGATTGGCAGGAAGGGCTCTTCAGAAGCCCACCTCTCCAGCCCGGTCTTTTCCTGGGCTTCTCCAAGGCTTTTCCTCCCCTGCCTCCTCCAAGCCTCTCACCTTTGGCTGGGAAATGGTTTCAGTATTAATATAATGCTTCTACTTTTTAACATGCATCCTACTTTCTACATTCCGTTAAGTGTTTTGAGTTGGAAAGCAAATGCAGACTATGTACCTGATAGATTAGATTAGATTAGATTAGATGAAAGGGGAGGGAAGGGAAGGGAAGGGAAGGGAAAAAGAAGGGAGGGGAGGGGAGGGGAGGGGAAGGGAAGAGAAAAAAACCCTGAAGTGAACCATACACTTTGAATCCAAAAAATGCTTCTAGAGACATCTACGAAAGCCCAGGTTTCTAAGAATAAAACAAAACAGCATGAATCAGCTGTTCTTGAGAGCTAAATCCAGAGGCTTCCCGGTCAGAGGCACACAAAATAGCTGAAATTAAGGCAGAGCCTGAAGCGCAAATGACGCCTGGCCTTACAGGATTTAGAAGAGGGATGTAGTAAATGATCCTGAAGTATCTGCGTCCATCAAAGGCTGATTTAAGAAATGAACAAAACTGTAAATGTGGTAATTCTGTTCACTGGATTTTCTTCTTGGAATACCCATATATTTCTGTTACTGTAATACTTTTAGCACTTACTAAAAAAATAAAAATAAAAAAGAAGAAATGTAATCAGCTCCAACAGAAACTGTTAATGTTCTCTGCCTTCTGCAGGACTGCTATACGAGCCTCTAAAAGTCAATACGGCAGAAATCTTCTTTGTTTGGAAAGAAATATCTTTTGCTTCCTTCTTTAAACACTTTCATGTGCTCCGTGCTCATTCTGTTCCTCCGTTAACTGGAAATCCCTCCATTTGTTATTTAAGTGTTATGTTAATATGTCCAAATAATAAATGAGCGTGGAAGAACAAGATCTGAAGGACCGTTAAACTCTGACGTCATACGAGCCTCTGAGAATGCAAATCCATTTACTTTATACCTGAATGTGTACAGGTAGTCCTCAACTTACGACTGTTTATTTAAAAATGGTTTAGAGTTACAGCGGCCTGGGAAAAAGTGACTTTCCTGTCCTCAAAGTTATAACTGTTGCTCTACCCCCACCCCACCCCCGGCGCCCCGTGATCGCCATTCAGGCAGGTGGCAACTGGCTCACATTTACGACGGTTGTGTCTTGCAGTCACCTGATCACCACTTGTGACCTTTCAGCTGGCTTCCAACAAGCAAAGTCAATTGGGGAAGCCAGATTCACTTAATGACCATGTGATTCACTTAACAACTGCAGTAAAAATGACTGCCAGAGAAAGAACCATCTGTCCCCCAAAGCTGAAATTCAGTGTTTCTGAGGCAAATGTCAGGGAAGGGCTAATACAAAAGACTACAACATTTAATTGGTTCTATATTAGGATATGCAAAAATACCTTATATTAGTAGACTCATCTGTGGTGCCTTTTGACTTCATTGAACAAAATCTGAGGGGAAAAAATAGCATTATTCCTCTGGAAGGTGAGAGCCTTAGACAATTTATTCTGAAAACTCCTGCATATTTATGATGGACATACAGCAATTACCACCCACCGACAGGATTGAAACGACTTTCTTTGGGGATCCTATTTCTAAAAAGAGCACACAAATACGCAGCCACACCTGCGCAAAAGCAAACAAGACGGGGAAAGCCTGCAGCAGGGGTCCTCCTTCATCCGCCGCATCTGGGAGTTGTCTACCTCTCATGCTTCTCACGGGGCACCCGGGGGCCTCCCTGGGGCTGCTTGCCTGGGAGACCCTCCAAAGCTGCCTAAGGGTCCTCTCTGGGTCATGTGACCAGGAGAGACCTGGGGGGCAATTGCCAGCATCCTCAGCCTCTCCCAACAGGCCCCTCTCTTGCTTGGCCAGGGATGCACGGAGGGGGGAGGGGTCTTTTCTTCAAGAGTTATTTATTTCTTAGGTCCACTTGATTTTTCATATGGTTTTCTCATGGTTGTTTTATCATCGCTCTAACAGGGTCAGAAAGAACAATTCATCCAGCCTGCCTGGATTTTGCCTGCCAAAGGCAGGAAGCCAAGTTCTCACGCTCATTCCCACCTGACTAAGGCCAGAATGTGTTTGGGCTTAGCGATTGTCTGTTTTAATATTCTGCAGATACAAGAGAAACGCAGGTTTACAAAGAAGGTCTTGGAAATCTACCTGTTATATTAATATAATTGGAACAAATAGATGACTCTGTGGGCCTCTGTAGAATGTTTGATAATGATGTGAAAACGTGCAAATGCTGGCGACACGGCGACACGTAACGTATGGTCTGTTGCACAGAACACATGTTCCTCAAACAGCGCAAATAGCGAGGCATACTGTATGTGGAAAAGTAAGATTTCTAATGAACTCTTGAAGAAAACACTGTGGGGCCAGGCAGAAAGCAAAGCTTCTTCACAGCTGCTGCAAAAGGTACCTTGTCAAGACCTTCTTCCTGTCGCTGTTGTGGAATACAAGGAACATGGAATAGCCGTTGTTTAAGAAGACCTCCAGTGCGATCTCCTGTGAAGACAAACCAAATGGGGCGTGATCTGCTGGCAAGGGAAAGGGAAAAAGGCTTCTTTCTCTAAGCAATTTCAGCCGCAATCATCTAGCCAACAGGACTGGATCCAGGGACCTTGGGATCTCCATGCTGCTATCCCTAGAGTTCATGGTCAGGGATGCAGATCAGACAGCTACAGAGAGCTTGGCCTCCAGACATCTTCAAAAACTGCCACTGAACTTTACATTTAAGGATACGGCTAGAGAGTACATATATGAATGACTTAGAGAATTGTTTCCTGGACTTAGCCACTGGTTTTTGGAGCACGGCCTCTGGCAGGCCCCGCCGAAAGGCTAATGGGTTCAAGGTTCAGAACTACCAACCCAGAACCCTGCTCCGGGTCCACAGCACCACCCGCTCGGGCAGTCGGTCAATTATCCTGAAGCTGAAAACCTTATGAGGTCTCCAAGAGCTCTGCTGGAAGAACAGAGGTTTTTGTTCAGCTCGCTCATCTATGCAATTCCAGTTCTGCTATTGCTTAAAGCATCTCACTGACAGGAAGACTCAAGCTTGGAAGAAATGTCAAAATCAGAAACCACTTCCTTTAACCTGGCAAAACCCAGGCAGGATACAAATTTTGCTTTTTTTAAAAAAAAAAGATACTTGGTTAACTTCACTGGTTTATTGTTGCTATTATTCTTGCTCAGTCCCTGATCAAGTTGAGGATTTAGAGCACATTCAAGTCAAATGCAGATATGGAATTCATTCAAATATTTTCAGAATCATCCTGGCCTTTTCTGCCATCCAGTGAAGCATTTAACAGTTTGGGCATTTATATAATGGTTGATGGTTTCTTTCACTCTAACCTGCTGAGCATCCATCCAAGACCTTGTTTGTCTTCCTTAGGCGTCCTCTCCTCGAAGGAAAGCCTAGGTGCACAGCCAGCTGGTTCTTACCTGCAGAAGGAAACGCATCGGCCGGATCTCCCGAATGTCACCGTAGGAATGGCAGGAACACGTGGGCTCCACAGCCACGGCCTCCGTTGCGTGGCACAAGTTGTAAATGAATGGCTCACTGATGCTAGAAACAAACATAGGAAGTGTGCATTAAACAACCACTGCATCATTCATTGGACTCCGCTAGTGGCAAGCAAGGCGGTTGTCCTCTTCTGCCTTGCCCTAAAACCTGCAGATGACAACTTGTTCCAGGCCCCTCAATGTGAGTCAGAAAATAAGACCAGCTACTGCCCTGTAAACAGGAAGCCATTTGGCTCCTTTTGTCAGCACCTTCTTTGCTCACCTAAAGAAGAGCCCTTTCCCCCCCCCCCGAAGCCTCAGCCAGCCCGGCCCCCTTGGGACCATGGAGTCTTGAGACACGCCGGGGTGGGCAGGGGATCTGGATGGAGGGCAGCATCTCCTTTCCCTCTCTGGATGTAAAGCCATCTCTCCGGGAAACATGGGAGCAAGGTGAGAGACAGGGCAGGTGTTGACCAGCAAGAGCCCGGTTAACCCCAGGTGCCCCTCAGGTAGGGAGCCACTCACCAGGACAAGCAGTGGCGCGTGCAATAAACGTCCCCCAGGTGGGACAGAGTAAAATGCTTGCAGAGGTAGAAATGGTCCCGGCCAAAGAGAACCGCCCCTTCCAACGCTACGTGTCCGTCAACCATCACCACGGACAGCCGGCAGGTGATCTTAAACAGGGAAGATGGCAATGCACGTAAACTGCGTGGCCCTGCTAACTTTTTCTGCCCTGCTAATATTTTACAAATAAAAAATTAAGAATCATTGACTGAGCAATACTCGCTTCTAAATGCCCTTCCGTCCATAATGTAGACTTATTCATACTAAAATAATTGTTAGTCAATGGAGAAATTAATTAATCCTAACCATAAAAAGCTGCAAAAAGGAGCCGTAGTAGTGAGTGGGTGAAATAGCCCTGCTTTTCTGATGAAGAGTTTGCCTCCTGACTGGAAAGGGGGGTGCCTCCCTCCCCCCCCCCCCCCGCTTTGGCCCTGCCCGTTCATTTTGCAGCAGGAGAGGAAGAACGTGGAAGCGGCTGAAATTTGGGGAGAGCCCCGGTCAGCCCTTCCCAAGTGCTCCAGACTTGTTGTGATTGTACCTTTTCATCTTGTACTAATTCCTGGAGGACGATTGTCCTTTCCACACAGACTTCCAAGAACTCCTCCGAATGGAGATGTTCATGCAGGGCAGGAAAAAATGTCAGCTGATCCCGACCTGCTTCTGCTTCTCTGCTCAGGGCTGGTCGTTCACCTGCGTCAAAATAAAAGGCAGAAACTGTGCAGCACCTTAATAGCTTTTCATAGCACTGTGGAACAAGAAGATCCTTCTGTGAGACGCTCTGTTCTTTAACTGAAAATATAATCTTTGCTTTTATCACATAGCTTAGGAACGCGATATGAAAATATATTTTTTTTTAAAAAGCGTGTGCTGCCTGCTCTTACAAAGCACGTCAGCAGGCGGGAAGGGTTAGGGTTGGAAATATCGGCTTTAGCAAAGGCTGCCAGGCCTCTGTGTGGTCCTTGCGGTCAGGCCGGCATCTTCTGTGCCCTCACGGCATCTCATCTGGGAAGATTACCTTGATCTGCCACAAGAGCTGGAGGGGAGGCCGCCTTCCGTGTCTGGGGAGCCTGGAAAGAGGAAAGGTTTGAGCTGCAGGGAAGGCCCAGAAGACGGAGCCAGGCCGCTTCTGCACAGGGAACGACTCCTGGAGGTGCCTAGAACCAGAAGCACCAGCAGTAGCACTTACTGTAGACCTATGCACCGCTTTCACAGCCCTTTCTGCAGCCCTCTCTCTAAGCCGCTTAGAGAGTCAGCCTATCGCCCCTCCCCCTCCAACAATCTGGGTCCTCATTTACCCAGCTGGTGAATGGATGGAAGGCTGAGTCGACCGTGGTGGCGCAGTGGTTAGGCTCCTTCTGCTGACTGCCGTCTGCCAGCAGTTCGGCAGTTCGATTCTCACCAGCCCAAGGTTGACTCAGCCTTCCATGCTTCCGAGATGGGTAAAATGAGGACCCAGGTTGTTGAGGGGGGCAACAGGCTGGAGAGGGCTGTATATAAATCTAAGTGCTACGGCTACGGCTATTGAGCTGGTCAGGATCGAACTCCTGGCTACGGGCAGAGTTTGCCTGCAATCCTTCACTCTAACCACTGCACCAGCCCATCAGCTTATTTCCTTCATGCAGTTGTCTAAGAGTCACCTGCCACGTCACCTCAGCCGGTGGCGGGAGGGAATCCTGTTTCCCACTCTTTTCTTGCTCGTAATCGCTCTGCATTGCCCGCTCGGCTTCACTGGCCCGTTTCCTGCCTTTCCTGGCCTGAAATCCCCCCGTGTCACCCACCCTAGGACTTTGCACGGCAAGCCAGGAACTGAAATAGCCTCTTCAGCCTTATCAACAGCTAGCAAACCTCCCAGCCTGCCAGCTCAGAAGGCTAAACTGCAGACTTTGAGCGTGTCTCTTTTATAACACAAAGCAGCCTCTTTTTTTCTTCTTTTCCTTTTCTGGCTGGCACCAGAGGCACAGCAAGGCAGAATTTAAAATGTTAAGTTTTCAGTTGCAATTAATGCAATTCAGCGATCCGTCGTTCGGGGAAGTCTCGGTTGATGAGACAACCCTGGGCAAGAGGAGACTGGAGCCCTGAAAGCAGGTTACCTTGTCTTCCAGTGGTTCCGCTGTATCGTGGGCGACTTTGAACTGGATCCTCTTCCTCATCCGAGCAGGACCTTCGTAGGCATCCAGGACCCACCTTGCGACTGGAGAAGCTACTGCAGAGCCCCACAGGCCCCCCTTCCTCAAAAGCCGATCTTCAAGCTCAGTCCAGGCTTTGGCAGACTTAGAGTGCATGCACAGCAATCTCTGTAGGAAAGAGAGAGAGAGAGAGAGAGAGAGAATCCCTAATAGCAAAGTCTTCTTCTCTGCTCCTACTCTTACCCAGCTGCTGCATCTGTGCCTTGAAAAGGAAAGCAGAATAAAAATAATAACTCAGTTAACTGCAGAAGCTCCAGGTGGTGCCCTGGGTGCCCCTCCTCCACCTATGCTCCACAAAAGGCAGGTTGGGACGAGACGAAACTCAGAATCTCCCCGGTAGCCGAGGAGGGACCTGCACACTGGCTCTGCCCCCAGAGCTCCAGCACCTCACCTATTGTGGAGTTCTTTATGCGAGAACTGATCACTTCTTTGGGACCGAGGGAGGCACACGGCTTTTGAAGGATTACCAGGACTCATAAACTACCCTTGATTTAATTTAAATTCAATCAAAATGAAATAAATTGAAGGTAGTAAAGAGGGCTGCATTTAGTACTTTGCTCTACAAAACTTCACATAGGCAGAATGGGACATCTTGTGAGTCAAATCCTCTTAGCTCACTCAGTGAGCAGTGATGAAGTACTTTTTCAGAGCAATAACTCCATCAATTCACTATATTTTAAGCAGATAAATATCAAATCCCCTGCTAGAAGTGAATTCAGGTAGTGACTACTACTACATCACTGATATACGAGCGTCACGGAGAAGTAAATGCAGATATTAATAATTTGGGGCCCCAACGCTTTGCAGGAAAATAAAATTAAAATGGTATTTTGTAACAGAGAGGGATCTGAATGGGAAGAAAGCCAAAGAAGCACAAATGAATCTGGAATAGATCACCGGATCAGTGATTGGCCGAAACCTTGAACAGAAGGATCTGCTGTTAGGAGGGAAAATGCACTGCAAAAGGTTTTGCTTCATCCCCACAGGAGTAAACATGAGTTAAGAGCTCTGTCTGAAAGTGAAGCAAAGACACTCAAAATAAAGAGAAACCCCCTGCTTGGATAATGTTTACTTAAAAAAAAAATGGAAAGAGAATAAGGATTCAAGGGAATTTGATGCATAACAACTCCATTGGATGAACATCATCATGATTTTAGAACTATGAGTTCGTTTCTCAATCTTACTATTTTCTTTCTTTCTCCATTTTTACTAGTGTAAACTTCTCAGAGTCTCCTGATGGTTGCAGTATGTGATCAATGTAATCAATCAACCAATAGAACAATCCCCTCTCTTTCCCTTGAGGCATCCAACCGTATTTTGTTTTTCCTGCCAGGGAAAAACGAGACTTTTTAGTTCCTTACCTCAACGTGATCCTTGCACAAAGCTGCATAGAGTTCTTGGCCAGTTCTCCTGCATTTTTCTAAATATGATGTAAAATCCTGATTTAAAACAAAAATTATTAATAAACTGATGTCTGTAACAAAACATTTGTGCTTCACATTTGATGAGTAAATCTTAAATGAGTTTTAAAATTGTGCTAAGAAGTCTTTAAGCGAGAATCTTGCAGTCTTTTCTGTCATGGACCAACCTTTTTAAGGTCCCCTTGATAAACTGGGAAAACCAGACATTTAACAGAGTTGGAAGGGACCTTGGAGGTCTTCTGGTCCTGCTCAAGCAGGAGACCCTCTGTTATTCCAGACAAACAGCTGCCCGCTCTCTTCTTGAAAGCCTCCGGTGGGTGATGGAGCACCCACGGCCTCTGGAGGCAGCCCCTTTCCCTGGTTGGCTGCTCAGCAGAATCCAGGAAAGAGGGAGATCCAAAGAAAGAGGCTTGCCTTGAGGAGCTAAGACTGGTAGAAGATGGGGCTGAAAAATGGCAGCAGGAGCCCAAATGCAAGATGGCAGCATTAGCCTATTAGCCCATTTCAGCAAGAATAGGATGTAAAAAAAAGCAGAAAGAATTTGCTCCACAGCAGGGTCAAACTTCAAGATCCGTGCCAGGATATAATAAAGCAACCGGCATAGTACTTTGGCTTCCAAGATTTGCAGCAGAAGGAACAAATTTTCTCCTCTTGATGAAGAAATGAAAATGCAACAATATCCTTAGTGTTATTAGTGGTACTCCATGGTCTGATCTCAGTTCTGGCCATGCAGACAGAAAAGCTCTTCCTGCATCGACAGAAATCACCCAGATTTACCAGCAAATCAGCAGTTTTAAAGAAATGTCATTTCTAGTCTGGCTGTGAACTAGTTATCAAAAAAAGACATTCGTGCTGCAGTGGGGAAAAAGTTAATATACATCATTAAAAGCAAATTCTCTGGTTGGATTGAAAGAAAAAAAAGGCTTGCCATGAGCAGTTCTGAAATGAATATCAGATTCAAAAGTCCCCCTGTGTATTTAATGGCATGCTAATTTACATTTTAATTACTTCCTAAGAAATCAAAGCATTTGTTGACAGTGGAACATAATGTCAGCTTCATAGAGCACTGTCGGTAGATGCTTAATGAATTTAATTAGATAATCAGTGGTGTTATCTTTCTATTATGAAGATAAAGATGTTACACAAATGATTAGCAGAAATATAATTAATTATAAATTTGCTTGTTTGGTCTCTTGAAATCGAAATAATATACATGGCATTATGATAAGAGACTTGAAGAGGACCCTGACATTGTGCACTTCACAGGTTGTTAAAAGGATTGCAGGCAAAACCCACATCTGGACTGGCGACCTGCTAGCACAGCCACCGGACGTTCTGGTGAGCTCAGAACAATTGACTTCTAGCAAACATGTCTTGGAGGGCCCTGCACACATCACAGTAGCATTATATGCTTCCTTCGAAACAAAGTACACAAGGGGACACGGACACCATATTTTGGCCAAGCCAAACAGAGTAAATGAGTTGCAGGTAGATGCGAATATGGGTTGTGCTGCCTCAACTTCCTCTGATTTATCTGGGTGGGCAAAGGGAGCTTGCCTGACTATGGCATTCAGACAGCCTTGCCCTAATTACAGCCCTTGTGTTAAAAGGCAAAGGGATTGACATAAATATTAAGGCAGACACCTAAAAACATCTTTGCAGAAGAAAGGGTTAAAAGTTATGATGTCTTTGGAATTCACCCAAAAATGATTAGCTACATGTACAAGAACTTCTGCTTGGATTGTAAAAACAACTATTTCCCCTTTTCTTTTTGAGGAAATAAATACTATTTGTTTTTAAATTTGGACATTTTCCATGTTTCTGTTTGCAAGCTGGGAGAACAGCTAAGTGCTTGAGCTGTAAGAAAATGCTCGGTGTTGAGGGTTGTACTAGTGCAGTGGTTCTCAACCTTTTTAATGCCGTGACCCCAACCGGTCGTAAGTCGAGGACTAAACCGGTCGTAAGTCGAGGACTAAACCGGTTGTAAGTCGAGGACTACCCAACCGGTCATAAGTCGAGGACTTTCCCTGCCCGGGAGTGCCACGCATGCGTGGTTCCGCCCCCTGCGCCGGCCGAGGCGTAGCTGGCAAGCGGCAGAGACGGAGCAGGCCGACCACCAGCTGGCCCAGCCCAAGGGAGGTAAGGCACCTGCCGGAAAAGGGGGAAAAATGGTGGACAAAAAAAATGGTGGACAAAAAAAATGGCGGACAGCCTTGCTTGGCGACCCCCGTGAAATGGTTGATCGACCCCAAATGGGGTCCCGACCCACAGGTTGAGAACCACTGTACTAGTGAATGAAGAAACTTTACGAAAAAATTTCCTGGTGGCAAATTATTTCTACGTACTGTAGGGAGAGAGAAGTTCCGATTCTGACGTGTCGGTGGAAAGGCATTTATTCTGAGAGGAAACCCTTCAGGGAAGCTTTTGGTCCAAAGTGAGGGAAGATCTATAAAGATCAGGGCACAGTCACACAAAGAGACAGAGCCAAAAGGAAAACCTCCAGTTGAAAGCAGAAACAGAAATTTGATGCAGAAGACCAGCCTCTCCAAGGGCGAGACCGTGTCCAGCCTCCCCAGTTGGAAAGTCAGATGTGAGGCAACATCTGCTCAGCCTCAGATTCAAACCGGTTCATTCTTTGGGGTCAGATATTTTCAAAATCTTCTAATTAAAAGATCCACATGTTGATTATAATAAAGAGTTATCTCTTTTTTTAACATGATCTTATGGCTACTATGGCTGACTTCCCTCTTTATATCACAAGCAGGCATCTATCTTGGTCCCCTGAGATCTATTCCAGAAGACGCCTAACCCAGACACGGGTGGCAAAAAGGCACCAAACCTCTACTTGGGAATGTTTCTGGCAACTAGGATAGGATCAACGGTACTTGCTTAGTTGAATAAAAATGCAAGAAGACAATAAGCCTGGCCATGGATTTTGTAGCAGTGGTTCTGTATGACCACTCAGCTCCTGTAGAGGTCCTGGCCCTGGTAGGTCAGCCTCTGACCTGCCTCACCAGCCTCCTCTCCTGGCTCTCTCCATACGGGCTGAGGGCTGAGTTTGGGGAGGCAAAGCAGCACGTGACAACACCCCCCCCCAAAAAAAAACCCTTGCAGCATGCCAGGTTGATTTCCTAAAGGACCCTTTGGCCAGGACTGGTCTACAAAGGCTCTGAAACCTGGTCAGCTCTTCCTCCCGTCCTTCTCTCTGTACCTGGCTTGCTTACGGTTGCGAGCCTCCTTTAGCGAGAAGGCTGAGTGGGGAAACAGTTAAAACAATCTAGGAGGGAGCAGAAATATAAACCGCCAGCACTGTGAATTCTTCTCTTTCCAAGGTGCACAACCTCCCCCCCCCCCCCCCCCCCCCCCCCNAGGAGGGAGCAGAAATATAAACCACCAGCACTGTGAATTCTTCTCTTTCCAAGGTGCACAACCTCCCCCCCCCCCCCGAATGCACCAGAGCTGTAAAGAATACACTTCTGTCTGTCTGTGGATCTGGAAGACCCAAAGATCTCCAATCAGTCATTTAGCCCACTGTACAACTCATTTCCTTGAAAAGCAAAGAAAAATATAATTGCCTGCAGCAGAAAGAGAGCCGAGAGTTGGAGGCTCGGTGGCATGTCACACTACAGCGAAGCGTCTATCAGATCTTGAAGTGTCAGTTCCTGACATCACCGAGAGCAACACAAAATGAGTAATGTTCCCCTGTAATTCAGCCTCTCCTTTAATTACAAGCCTCTCCTTTTTAGAAAAGAAAGACAGAAGACGCAGGAACCCCAATTTCATGCACTTGTGCCTGAATAATGCGTCTACTCGTCCTTTTCCAGATGGCCTCCTTTCCTACCACAAGAACTAATGATGTGGGCACATTTAGGGAAAAACCAATAACAGTCTTTAACCTTCAACAGCAAATACAAGTTGTACAAAATGTTCCTTGGGATACATTAACAAATATCAATTACTTTGCTCACTGATGTGTAATCAGCTGTAATAATCAAAATTAATTTTAAGAAATAATTAAACAGACCCCAAGGCAAATAGTTGGTGCCAGCACTGAACAGTAACGTGTATTCCCACCACACCTGGAAGGAAGTTACTTAGCCTGAATCTCTTTCTCAGCCAACAAAAATAGCTAAAAAACTAGCCCTGAGTTTGTTCACCCACCGTTCATTGCACTTTGCGCTCCTGGGGAAAAAAGGTGCCCTGGTTATTTGGCCATTGCTTGTCATCAAATAGAGCAGGACTAGGACTTCAAGTCGGGAAGCTCAAGATATTACCTTACAACCTTTTTTTTTTTTTTTGGCACCTGAGGTTCACACAGGGATTTGGAAAGGCCAGTTTACGCCAGTTTTGTGTTATCACCTGTTTTAGGTTCCTGCTGGGAGTCAGGGTCTCATTCAAAGGGCTCGTCTTGCTTGAAGCACTGACTAGAATTTTGCTCTGGGAGTTTTTCTTTTCCGACGCTGGAACCACAGAGAGGAAAGGAAAAACACGCACAGTTAATGCTATTGTTATGTTGTGCCACTTCAGGTGCCCCGGAGCAACTATTCCTGACCGTCGATGCCAGGCCCTGCAAAGCAGCACCTCAGGGCCTTCTTCAGCGTTATTCCCCAAAGGGCCCAGAGGAGAGCCGGCCTCATAGGCCGCCAGTTGCGTTTTCCTCTGACCTGGATGCTTGTTTTTCCCAACAGCAATCTAGAGGACGCTTTCTGCCCTCTAGCAAGATCTCCACTGCATCCAGCTATGGGCTGCTCAGGACACCTCTGCCCTGTAAACAACTGGAGCCCACCTGTCGTCACTAGTTATAGCCCACCAGGTGGATTCAGAAGCTTAGATCACAACGGGACCTGTCCCACCGCTCGCTTGGTCACATCTATCAGGGTTAATAGCTCCCAAACAGACCCTAACCCTTCCCCCTCCCCCCCACAAAAGGCCAAGAGCCCTGCGGTGACGCCACGTCCGCCAAAGACTCTGTACAATTTAAGGGCAGAGACCTAGAAAGCCCCGACAGGTCTTCCTCATGGCTTCTTCCCACAGAGGAGCTACGTCAGCCATCTTCATTGTCTCTTCTCCATCGCCTTTCTCTTTAAATAAAGAGATTTTATATGCGTCCTCTAAATCTTTTCTTCTCCCAGAAAGAAGCCGGAGCCAGATTTCCTCAGCTGCCCTCTGGATCTCTTGCTGAACTAGAAATAAATGAAATGCAAACATGCTTTGGTGTGGAAGGATCACATCAACAAAAGGGCCACGCATCACTTCCAGATCCAGGGGTCTGCCAAGGTGAGCCTGACCAGCAGCTTTGCTGGTATTTACAGAAACCAGGACGCTTATGAAAGCAAAATCACTCGCAGCACTCCAGACTTTGATACTGCTTGTCCAGAATGTATGTAGAAATCAGAGCAGACATGACTAAAATAATAAATGGTCCATTTCTCCCCACGTATCTCGTGTAACGTTGTCTTATTTTGTTGCCATACAGTAAATTATAAACAATTTGGGTGACAAGGTTTCGGTAACTGAGGGGTCCTGGGTGCTCTCCGAGCTGACTTGCTTTCTTACCCAAACTAGGGAACATCATCGGTGCTAGTTGTTCCTGTATCTACATTACAAAATGCACCCATGTTTTAAAGAGTGTACAGAGCAAAGCAGGACGCACACAAAGGCCTTCTCCTTTCCTTCTCTTGACCAGCCCCTGTCCCACACACCCCCTTTCCTCACCAATCTCGTCATGTTTACCCTCCTCCAGGACAGAAAGATCATCTTCGGTTCTCTCGTCCCCTTTTCTCGGGGCAAGAGAAACAGGGCAACCCAAAGCTGGCATCCATTTCGCCTCACCACTTTCAGGATAGCTCTGGCTGAAATACAAGCAGATTCATTAAGACCACTATCTGAGGGGGGGGGGGGGAAGTTGGGCTGTGGATTATTTAATAAATCTTAATCCTGATATATTTATTTTTAAAGCACTTCTAAAAATACATGCTTATTTTTAAGAACTCTAATAACCAAGAACAACAACTCAAAGACATATTGCTTTGATATCTTGCTATTTGGGGATTTACTCTGGCCAAACACAGCATTTCGAGGTAAAAGAAGTATCTGTCTCTATGTCCCTAGGATGGATTCCATTTATGGATCCATTTTTTTTCTTTATCTTTATCCTTAAGTTGGAGGCAGTGCTGTTGTTCCACCAGTGAGGGATGGGTGCCCTCATTTCCAGGGTGAAGGACCCTTTCCAAATCTAAGGGGAAACGGCTTCTGGGTCCTTCTTAACGGCGAAGTGGCCGTCTACCCGGCCAGCAGAGTTCTTCGTTGCCACCTGTCTTATTTCAGCTCTTGGAATTTCCTACTGAGGCCACAGGAGGATGCAGCCTTCCGATAAAACAGCCTAAATAGAGCTGTTAAGACTTTGCAAGCAGATGGCAAACTATCCAAGGATCAAAACCAGAATAAAGCAAGAGACAACTGGGGCCAAGGAATGTGCCACACTTACGATCCGAGAATAAGTTGGTGACGCTACTTATTCACCAAGAATAATCACAGGTTTATTGAAAGTTTACTCTCTCGCGATGGGGACTTCATAGTGCCACAGGCGTGGTGCTGGAATCCCCCCTCCCAATTCGGGAACATCAGAAAAAGTTCTTCCCCCAGATTTGAAATGACAGGTAAACGGAGGGAGCTTTGAAGGTGGGCAGCCTCCCTTGGAAACATGCCTAGAAACAAAGAGGCCATTGCGGAAGTCCTTGCAACTCCACAGGACACGTCCACTGGACACATTTGTTCCCGTGTTCTACATTAAATGCCTGGAGTTTCTTCAAGATCAAATCAACACTGACCCCATTGGAGTTATTCAATGAGTACCCTTGGAATGCATAGCCCTAAAGGAAACACATCGTCTCTGAAAAAAAGGTTTCTGTTAATTTCTGCTCTCTTGCGTCTAACAGTTCTGCCAGAGTAAGAAAGCCCGCCACACCTCATGGATCTCAGCTGCAGCAGGCAATACAAAAAGCTTGCGATGAAATCCAGGCTAGAATTGTGTGCCGCAAAGATGACGTCCCATTGCGTCTGAAGAGTGTGCAGAAATTCCAGAAGACTTTGTGACCCAGAAAAGGGTTCCGATAAATAGTACAAGATGCTGCGGTTCAAACAGTTGTACAAGTTGCTCAAAATTGATTCTTTGTGGAGAAAAAGCTTTCTTGTTACCTGTTAAAAAACAGTCAAGAGGCTCAGAATGCTCTGAATTTAAGGATAAGACCCAAGCGTCCCTAAAAATATGAAAAATTTAAAAATAATTCTGATCTAAGACACTTAAAAGCAATTATGCATTCAGATTTGAAACAAAATGTTCCAGAATGAGGAATGCTGTCCATTCTTCTGCTTTTCGTGGAATTTGTTTTTGCTTGTTCTTACAGACATTCAGCCACGTGCAGATACAAATGAAGATGTTTCTCTTTTCTCTGTTATTTTTAATCTGTGGCATGTGAGAATGTGCACTGAAATGCACCTCCAATCATGATTCTTAAACGCCCGTTTGCCTTGTGCAAAATTTTCTCTAATCCAACTACTTTCCTGATCCAACAAGCTTGAGCAAATGTGAGCATTGAAGCTATCAATCCCCTCACAATGAAAATTAAATCCATTATAAAGAGGATTTAGGGTAATTATTTGTTGTCACAGAAGTAGCGTCCCTGGGGTGGAAACCATCCCTAATAAGCTTACAGCGGCCATCACGTCTTACATCTGCTGCGCTCTAAAAAAGGCCGGGAAGGGCCCTTGTGGGGGGGGGGGGAGAGAAGACGCTCTTACCAGCTGCACTTGCTCTGCAATGAAAAGGATGGTCTTCCTCGGGTCTGTGACACACATTCCCTCATGAAGTTTGCCTACCAGCTTCTGAGTAAAATAGCAGACATTTATGAGAAAATAAGGCCTGGCAGATTCCAAAATGTTCCTGGTATCACCATTTCCTGCAGGGCGGAAGAGAAGGATGTACTTGTAAAATGCAATCAAAAACAATGGAACCTCTGCGGACTTTTTTCTGACAAACTATTCTTGGGTGGCTTTCTCTTGTCTTCTTAATTTTTATTTTTCTAATATTACTGAAACAATCTTCAATTTAAAAAAAAAATAGAAAAGAGACCACCCCAAACAATATAAAATACAAACTAAGAAGGAAAAAAGAGAAAAAAATGACCTTGTATTTTATATTTATTGTTAGTATACTGCATTTACTAATAAATATATTGCTAAATCAAATAAATAAATAAAATAAAATATAGGTAATTATCAGTCCTTATACTCGGCAATCAAGCAGTCTAAGCAATTAGGAAAATGTACGCCTTCAGTGAAGAAACTTTCATTTCTACAAATCATGTTTTGATTAGGAAGTTATTATGTTATTTATGAGTAAGCAAGGTATCCACCTCTTCCTTCTGCCTAAGCTCCACTGCACTTTGTCAAAGGCACAAATGGCTAAGGACACATAACCCACAAGGTTCAAGGAGGACCTGCCCTCTCCTGCAGCCCCTCCGGTGGGGAGGAGCCGAGCAACCCATCGGGCCCTTGGAGGACTTGTTGAGTTAGTGTCAGGCTCTTTGCAAGACCTCCAGCACGCTGGCTGGTCTTGCTGTTACCGGCTCCCCGGATGTTCAGGTTAGATAACATACGGCTGAATTGCAACTCCCAGCACTTAGCATGGCTGTTTACAAAAAGAAATAAAATAATAAAATGCTGGGATCTGCAGTTCAGCCATACCTGACCTCACGGTACGTTCTGTGCATTTCAGGTAGACTCAGGTAGAAAGGTGGCTGAACGGCAAGTGATACTCGCCTGTTAAACCGGAGGCTTCCTTGTAATTTTGACCAAGGTTGTAGACAATCTGTATAATGGAAAGCAATAGCTCTGTCTGGAAGGACGTCTTTTGCTCAATAGCAGCATTCTCTGGAGAGGCCTGTATAGCAATAATATATAAACGATTGAATCTGCGGGGTTAGCGTTATAAGCAAACAAACAAAACAAAAAACCCCACGTTCTTAGGAAGGTTACACTGGAGTGAAAACATTTTCAGAGAATGTTCTAAAAGAGTGAGACAATAAAATAAGGCAGCCATTTCCAGAGAGCCAGGCCTTTTCCTCAATAAAAGGTTGGCGGTGGTCCTAATACTCCATAGTTCACTAATGCGGCTGTACAGAGAGTCATACTTGTACATCATAAAATCCCTAAGGAAATTAACCTTGCAAAATCTTGCAAAAACTCTGAATGCCAAAAGTGAGCCAAAGCATCCGCTTCCCCTCTGTTTTATCAAATTCTTCTGCCTAGAGAGTTTTCCTAAGTAGCAATGCAAGCAGCCAGGGACAGAATATGTCAGTGGCAAGCAAGGGGCAATCCTGGACTTCCAACTCTCCTCCCGCCATCTCACCCCCCACAACTGAAGGGACAGACAGAAGCAGCAGACCTCAAGAATGAACTCCAGCGGGGGCCACCTTTTGTCCCTCCAGTCCAGCAGCATTATTCCCCTCAGGAGACGCTGAATCAAGTCCCAAACTTCTTTCCTAGCTGGAGGCTGAAACCAAGAATCACAAAGGCCAGAATGATTTTCCTGGGAGGAGGCAACAACTGACCCGCTCCCTCCGCCATCTTGGAAAAACAGGAAAACATCAGCAATCCCAGCGTGGGACCAGCAGGTTGGGTTGTGTTTCCACAGTTACATTTTATCCCCTATGCGGAAGGCTGGTGAAAAATAGATCAGCAACTGGAAGATCAACTGTATATAAACATAAAAGCACAAATAAGACAGATTGCTAAAATGTAATAAAGCAGCAGTCATGATGTTAGACGAAATTGCATACGGAAAATGAGCAGCGGCAGAAATAAAGGATGCTATAAATGAAAAGCCCTTTGAAACCATTTCTGGTGGGAAAAGAGACAAAGATGGCTTTTGTCAACAAGAGTATCCTGGAGCCCCACTTTAAATGAGCTCATCCTTTGTAGGAAAATCCAGATGCCCCCTTCCCCAACTGGCACTTTGGACTCGCTCAAAATTGTTTCTTCCAGGCTCAAAGAGCACATTAGGACCTGCTGGCATCTCACTCGGTTAATGTTCCCAGAGCCGGATGGCCGCGTGGAGAGCAATTGCAAGAGTAACGGAGTCCTTACTGAGTCGTGGCCAGCATTGATGATGCATTCCTTTTTCCTCTGCCCCTCCCATCATTTGCAAAATAAAATAATAGTAACAACAACAACAATAATAATAATAATAATAATAATAATCTGGTTTCCTGATTTCTGAGGTGGCTTTACACTTTTCAGGTTGCAGCTACAAACTATAATTCCAAGAATCTACTACTCTCTTTTAGAAATTCTTGAGCATAAGTTGTTTTTAGTGTGGCTGCCTGGCATTTCCCACCCAGGGGTTTAAATTGAGGGCTGCTTGTAGGGCGAGAGAAGCAAGAAACAAAGGCGTGGGCAACTTTCTTCCCTGAGGCAGGAAGAGAGGCAGGTAAGAAGAACAGACCTTGGCCTCTTTGCCTCTTTAGATCTGCTGGAGAGCAACCAACTTTCTTAAACTCCTGACTGGAGGGAAAGTGGGAAAACTCCCCCCCCCCATGGCCTCTGCTCTCCCGTAAGCCACAGCATCTGTAACTCTCAAGGGTGTTGTAGCCGACATTCGTGCTATTAAACGAAGCTGGATGCTTCTGCTCCTGGTTCCAGCCACTCTGCTTCCTCAGCTAAGTCGTCCCTATCGCCTTGCCTGGGGTCAGCGAGACGTGGCCCTCTAGGGCCTTCCTTCACTCTCTGAAGCAGGAGAATTTGTTTCCTGGAAGAGCACTGCTGGGCAGAGTTTGTGTCCCCCAACAGATGTTGTGGGAATCACTACAGGGCTTTCTCTGCTGCTGAGCTGGGGTGCCATCCACCCATCCATGAACCGGCAGAAAAACAGACCAGCCTGAACTTTGCTCTACCGGTATCCACCTCTCTTATAGACTTTGAGGCACTTTGGGACATTGTTGGTTTAAGGGAGAAAGCACAGCTTCCATGTGGATGGAAATTACTTCATGCTGTCTCACTCACAAGATTAAACCATCTTATGAGGATACAGCAGAGATGTTGCCAAGGCGTGTTTATATTGTGGTTAGATGCAGGTGGGAAAAGTCCACTCAACTTCATGTCTCTCTGAAAGAGAGAGAAGGCATAACATGTAGCTGGTCAGAAATGAGCATTTTCCCATATATTAGCCTTATAATATCTAGATAAATTATATGTTGCCTAAAAAGTACAGCCTAGGCTTAGGTAGGCGCGGAGTTAGATCAAGCAAAGTTGAAAGAAGGAATCATTTATTAATTTTATAGTCTGACTTTTCCTTCAAACTGATTCTCAAGACAGTTAGCAGTTCTTTAATTTGCCTTTTCACTGACTGAAGACTTCAGTTCAATCTGGATTATGCATCAATTTGTTTTCTGTCATCTAATCATCTGGTACTATTTGAATATCGTCCTTGAATGTCAAATTTCAGACTCAACCATAAGAGGAATAATATTGTCTGGATCTTAGGTTTATCCAATTTAAAAAAATCAAGTATACCAATTCTTCAAGACCTCTGTAGCAACTCCTGGTCTGTTCCATCACCCCCATTATCTCTACTTCTATGGGGCTGCTTGCTTGCTGAACCAGCCTCTTGAACAGAACAGAATCAGCCAGTCAGCCAACTGGAAAAAACCGCAGCACTGCCTACCTGGGATGGCCCAGCGGGGAAGGCAGCCAAGGCCGCGGCTTGGAGGAAGTGAGGATTGGACCAGAGGGGGTCCTGAGGGTATCTGTGGTACACCAGGTGGATGAAGTGCAGGACGTCCTTTGTGAAGCTGCTTTGCCAAGAATCCTCTCCCTCTGCTGGAATCTACAGGAGAACATAAAACTTAGTCACGAAACACCATCAAACAGCCATCCAATTATTTAGGTTTTACTTTCACCGAGAGAACAGAAAATAAATGAGTGGAATGTACAAATAATAGCAGAGAAAGCAAAGTTTGGATGCTGCTGAAGAACCTGAGAAAGGCTTCCTGCCATTGAATTGTAAAGCCATTTGGCTGTTCTTTATTTTTTCCTTTTCAGGGCAATTTGTCTTTCTTTTCTCATTCCTTATTTCCATCCTGTTTTCTGGAAGCTTTTCCTCCTCGTTGTGCATATTTTAATCCTTCCCTCTCCATCCTGTTTAGTTTTATTTTAACTGAATTTTTACATTTGCGATCATTATTGTTTCAATGTTTTATGCTGCATTTTATTCAATGTTTAGGATCACCTTTGGCAAGGTGGACAGCAAAGAATTTTGGTTAAATAAAATAAATAAATGAATAAACTACTGCATATAACTGAGACCCAGTTGACAAACAGGATTTGGTGTCCTACACAAAGGTGCCTCCATCCACATGTATTCCACATGGCAGAAGCTCAAGCCTGACAGTCATCCTGCTGACCAGATTTTCTGTCTACTGACATATTTTTAACCCCTTTTCTGTTATTTTGTTCTAAATTTTGTACTAAATTTTCAAAACAGCCTAAGCTCAGATGTATGTAAATAGAGGCCAATCAGCTGCTGGGACCGCTTCACCCCCTTGGTTGCCCCCTCAGTTGTGGCTGTGGGGCTTCATCCTGCAACACCCCCCAGGACAGCAGGACTCACCTGCCTCGTGAGGGACGAGACCATCTCCAGCAGCAGAACAGCGGCTTCTGTGCACAAGCCGGCTTTGACCACCATCCCTGTGTGATGGTTGCACAGCAGCCACTCTAGTGTTGCACCCAAACCTGCCTGGAAAATAAACATCTCGTGAAGCTGCAGAAAGTGTCCCGAAGTACGAGCTTTACCCCACTGCTCAGCCATGCAGGAGGTCTGGGTGGCTTCTCTTGAAGCAATCGGGTCTGTATTCACTGGAAAGTACGAGGAAACCTAGAATTCTAAAAAAAGATACCTCCAAAACTATCATCACATTTCAAATTGATTTTTACTTCTAAATTCTATTCAAAATATAGGCAAATGAGGGAACCCGAATCAAAATATTGTGATGCAAATTCTTAGACACTAAAAAAAAGTAAATAAGGAGCAGAACTTGCAAGATCGCATCATAACACACATTTGAGAAAAACTCCTTTGATGCGGATAGCCAGAATAAAAAACTCTGCTCAGTTTGTTGTTCCTTAAGTTTTCTTGTGTTAATGAAAAGTATTCATTAATACATTTTCAGGGGGAAAAAGAAAGCAAAATGTGACAGTAGCACTATTTATATCAGCATTTTTTCTGTTATGCTTACTTTGCAAAAATTTGTATATGCACCTCATCATCTCAAAGAATTAAACAAGGTATACCTGAATGCATAGCCCCTCACGCACACACATTTTTTGTGGTTTAATCAATAGGCACACGCAGGCTGATAATTACCTATGACAACAGACCTTACTAAAACTTTCATTTGTTAACCCTAAGGACAGATGGCCCCCCCCCAACCATGTTTTGGGGAAGGGGAACATATTCCCTCATGTGGCAATTAATTCTATGGGTTAACATCTCTCGTTATCAGAAAATTCCTCCTAATATCTTTCTTTATTGAGATGGCTAACCAGCACAAGAAAATTAGTATTCGAATATTCAAAATATCCCAAACTAAAACAACAATGTCAGTATAGTTAAGAAAAATATATGCAGACAGAAATATTTTAAACTGTGGGACTGTTTCCAAAGACTAACGTAATGGCCACACGATGACCCTTCTTTAACTCTAAGCTGTACGAGCTGGTCCTATTTCAAATAGAGTTTTGATAGCCGACAGGCACGAGATGTAAACAATACACGTGAATCACTGTATACACGTGATAGTGTACAAAATAGGTTTTGAATCCCTCCCCAGAGCTGAGCTTCCGCACAGATCTGATTCCCAGGAAAGGGGCTGCACAGGGGGTAACCTGGGCCGCGTCGGCTGCGCCCTGTGAGGCGAGGCGGCTCTCAGCAGCTGGAGGAAGGTCCCTCCGTCGAAGGTCCCTGCCGTTCCTTCGTTCCTTTCGCTTCGTCCAATAAACCGTTTCGGCTGCTACAAAAAAGCTTTCCCCGTGCTTTACTGTGTCAGTGCAGTGGCTTACTTGGGTTTCATCTGGTGGCTTGGACAGCGGTGTGTCCAGAAGAAGTCCTGAGAGAAGGAGGTAAATCTCCGGAATGTGGAGTGAGTAGCTCAGGAACATCTTCAGCTCCATTAATCCAGAGAGCGGATATGGATGATACTCAAATAACTGGGGAGAACTCTTCAAATTGTCTAAAACAAAGAACAAGAAACTTTACCTCAGGCTCTCTCTGAACTGACCTGCTGGATAAAAGAAGAACAAGTCCACAGGAAGGAACTAAACTGATCTTATTTACCCAAGGAAATGCTACACAATACAGCCGTCTGTGGTGGCTGGTCTCAGCAGAGAAGCTTCTACACGGTGACAGCACTGAGACTAGATTCCCCGGGATCTCCTTCTTTGTGATCCTCATAGGCTGCTCTGAGTGACAGAAGCTCGCCATTGGGGGGTGTGGGGGGGGGCTGTTGCAGCCAGGCTAGAAGCCTTTGAATGAACTGAATGGATACTCTCCCCAAGACCCAGCTCCCTTCTCTTCCCTTTCCATGTGGACTGTCGCTGATCTAAACTTTCCTGCTTTCACTTCAGTCTCCATTAATACCTGAAATAAAACAATGTCTCAACGTGGACTGAAGATTTTTTTCAACCAAATAACCAGAATGTAATTGTATTGGTCAGCAAATAAGACACCAAAAGCAAGTTAAGAAAGTCAGACTTGAAGTATGAAAGATCAGGCCCCAAGAGGAGACAGTGAAAGTGATATTGGTACACAATCACCAATTCCTTGGCATCCAGGCTGGGCTGCTAGCTTCCCTTCGAACTTGTTAGGGTTATTTTTAACAAAAGGGAAAAACATCTTAAAATAATTAATACATTCTATAGAAATCAAGCAGAGACAGACAGAGGGTAGATGATGATATAGATGAGAGACAGAGAGAGGGGGGGGAGAGAAAGAGGGGGAGAGAGAGAGGGGAGAGAGAGAGAGAGAAATTATAAGAGTTATTAAAATAATTAGCCATGATCCACAGCTAGCCTCAGCATCACACTGCAAGCCGGCTGAAAGCACTCAGGACCTACCAGTCAAAATACCCAGCCCCTTTAAGCTGCTTCTCAGCCACAGGCCCGCCATCATCCCTTCTCTGAACTCATGCAGGTGTGCACGGTTGTGCAAGAAATGGAAAAGCAATTTGGCTGCCAGTACAACTGTGGTTTCATGTACATGACTTTGCATAAACATCAGGAACCAGTCAGGGCCCAAGGCCTGGAACATTTTTTCTTGGATCCTGTGAGGGAAACACCAGTTTGAAAGACACAATACTTAAATGTTATTTGTTGTAACTATACTACATGGTGGACTTACTGGAACAACAAAAATTGAAAACATTTGCTAGCTCCTGAGCTACTGTTGTGGTTTTAAAATCCCTTAGGTATCCCAAACATAACAAAAATACAGTTACAGCCTAATCTTAACCTTGTTTAGATAGAAATAAGTAAAATAGCCAGTCTTCTGCAGCTGGTAACTCAAAGAAAGCTAATCAAGGTGGACGTGGATTTTGAGGTACGTGCACCTCCGAAGCAAAGGAGGGCTCCCCAACTCCGGATCAAGGCTGGAGAGGGACTTGCCAGGAGGAAGTGCTCGGCCTTCATCGCTCCTCCTCTGCCTCCTCCCCCAGGCTCTCTCTTTCCAGCCCTCTGAAAGCCGACCGACCGACCGACCGACCGACCGACCGTGGGAAGCCTGACTGGCTTCCATTCGCTGGAAGGAAAATCTTCCTTGCAGCTTCAGGGATTCTGGTGGGAGAGGGAATCCAATCTTTATAGATTGATTTTTATGTGTTTGTTTGTTTGTTTGTTTGTTTGTTTGTTTGTTTGTGTGTGTGCGCGCACACACACACACACATATAACTTGGTGTTTTAAATTTTATTAAAACTTTTTATAGTTTTTAAAGAATTTCCTGGTGGTCTTACAACTTGTGATTACCGAATATATATATCAGAAAACATTTGGGGTAGAAAATGGAGCAAAAAGATTGTTCTGCCATTCCCCCCTTAATTTTCCCTACTTCAACGGCTGTATCATTTTCTGCTTATTAAATAGTTTATTATTTTAAATAAAGTGATTTATGGTTTTGATTACTGGACAGGATAGAATAGATTATAGAAGGAAAAGTGCTATGTTTTAACTTTAGAATAAGAGGTAAGTTTATAATTGTACTTTTAACTGCTGTAAAGAAGATTGTATACACCCAAACCCACGTGTGCGCGCGCACACACACACATATAAACACACACAGACTCTTACTTACTCAGAGGACAAATGAAGTTCACCTGGCTGAATTACATCCAGCAGCATGCTCAACAACTGATTTCGAAGCCAAACCATTTTTCCAGGTGTCTGAGTTAAATCTAAAATTTAGACAACACAAAGAATGGATGTGAAATTCTGCATAGGAATGTATTTGACTTTTATTGAATGCAGGATACAAAATGAAGGGAGCCTAAGAAGATAATACACGGGGACTGGAAATGAGAAACTCTTCAAATACGAGAAGCGTTGATCAAGTCTGTCCTAAGGATCATCTCTTGTTTTATTTTATCTTGTAGAGTTCGTAGAGTTAGGAGGAACGGACGCTCTGTCATCAGGCTTTAATCTTAGGTTTATAGTCCACTTTCAGAAGAAATGTGCTTTTTGCCCAAAGGGAGGCCTTCTCTTGGCAAACAGATTCCATGCATGAGGCAAAGGCAGGGCAGCCTCGCTTTTGCCCCCACTGTTAGCCAGGCCTCGCTGCCCTCTCGGGCGACTGCTTTGCCCCCAGGTCTTCCTTAAAGAGGGAGCCTGGCTGCCACCCTCCCTCTCTCCTTGGGCAGAGAGGCCAGAATAAGGAGGCCGCCCTCTCCCAAGGGAACCGCTGGCCCCTCTCTGTGGCGATTCTGGAAGGCCCAGGGAGCAGCACAAGGCATCTCGTTGCGCCATGACCTTCTGCCTTCTTTCCATTCCTGCATCATGGAGTTAAATGTTTCTTTTTGTACCCTTAGGCGCTTTACGCTCTTAGCTATGAGCACAACAGGAGAGTAATGAAAAAGAAACAAGCAGCTTTTGGAAGTTTTTCTATGTATTTCAATTTTGGTTCCAAGCAGGAGATGACGACGATGACGATGATGATGGTGGTGGTGGTGGTGGAGGCAGTGGTGATCCTCCTCGCAGTCTCCCCTCAGGCAGGCAGGGAGCAACCGGACGTTTGGCTAGTGGAGCCCGCAGGGGAGACTCCAAAACGGACACTGAGGGAAGCATTATCTGACCACCTGCAAAGCCTGTGCAATATTTGCTTCCTTGCCTGGCTCAGCAGCTGCTGCAGGTCCTGCTATTTTCAGGAGGTTTGGTTCTCCCTTATGAGCTGAAATTATGGATATTTGCTGTTCCACTGTTCTTCTCTTTCCCTCAGCCACACTTCCAGCCTTCCACTTGAGGCAAACTTATGTCCGCTAATTATTAGGCAAGAGCACAAACCTTCTACAAATCTTGCTGTCACAACCATAGAGTGGCATCAATTCATAATCCCCCCCCACCATTTATTGTGAGACAATTACCAGCAGGTCCTTAATTGCCTGCTGCATGGATGGTGCCTTAACGCTCTGTTCCTTCAGCCCAAATTTTCAGGAGTTACGGGACTAGAGTTTGGGCCTGAGAGACAGAATATTAGCAATAAGCAGCTACAGAGGCCAAGAAGAAGACGGCTGAGACATCAGGGCCACAGTAACCTTATGTCTTGTGCTATTTCTTGACATGTAACCTGAGCAGTCCACAACTAGACAATCCATTAATTAGCAACTGTCCAAGCCACAGCTGAAACAAGCAGACTGCTGGAAAACAAGGCATGATGCAATGAAATGTGTTCCATGTCACATCGTTCTCCCTTTGTGATGTCGCACACAAATACTTCAGGGTTTGAGTCTGTATTGCCATGTATGTTTTATCACTTGTCCACCTCGGATGTCAAAGATGCAAGCCATTATGTGCCTTATTTTTCTATTACAAGTAAATAAAAATATTCTAAAATATTTTTAGCAACACACAATTCTGTTTCATACCTTGTCCAAATGACTCTGGAATACTATTGGAGAAGATCTCATTTTCATCAATAGATGCAGGACATAAAGTGTAAACCAAGAATAAGCTGATCCTGAACAAGAAAAAGTAAATCACTTAGATCAAATTGCAAAAGCAAGGCCTTCAAATCACTCTTAGGGGGAATCCCAAAATAATATTTTACAGGTGGCTCAGAGGAGAAATAAATATTGCTATTGATGCGTCCCTACAAGCTCACAAAGAAGGACGAGGAGGCTACGCATGGGTCTAAAACAAGACGTTTGTCATAAAGAGGAGGAGCTAAGCCTCCTCTGGGGTTGTAAACCAGTGCTTCTTTCCCTCACCAACTTCTAGATGTGTGGACTTTAGCTCCCAGAAGTGCCCAGATGGGAATTAATGTTCCCCCCTTTTTTAAAGTTCCTAGAAAGAGGAAGGATGCTGAGAAGACCCACGGGGACCGAGGGGTGAGCAGAGGCATTGCTGCACAGGGGCAGGGCCCCCTGGTTCCTCCGGGGTTGACCTAGCATGGACAAACTGCCCCTCCGCTCTCTCTCCTTGCCACTGATTGAGCTGTTGAAAGGGGTCTTTGCTTTGTAGCTGGAAAAAACATGAACTGTGCAGTGAGGGAAATCTTTTGGCTTAAGTTTAAGCAACCCGGGTTTTCTATTGGCTGACAGGCTGCAGGAGTGGAGCGGAAATACCAGTGCAAATCCTTGATGCTGAAGTGGCCCTGAAGTGAATGGCAGAGGAGGGCAGAGATCCGACGGACGCGAGAGGTTGGGATCCCAGAGTCCCTGAGGAGAAGGAGAAGCTTGGGCACCATCTGCGCCTGCTGGATGAGGGTCACGGTGGAACTCTTTTCTCTACAAAAGACAAAAAGATAATTTAAAAAAAGAGATTTTTCTTTTCCTGGGGATAATATAGCCACAATATTATTTGTATTTCTGCTTTTGAACTCTTGGCTTCTGACGTTGTCTTGGCAGCTCTCAAGATACCAGCCATCAGATTCTCAGCCAGTTCACCTTCTGCTCTGCATCGACTCAGCTCTTCTCCTGCACGATGCCCAGCAAAGAGAGTTCAAATCAAACCAATTATTGATTCCTGGAGCTGCACAGCACAGGAAGTAAGTGCTGCTTTGACAAAAATCACTACATTATCAGAATCCTGGAGAGTTTTTCAATAAAAAAGAAATGGCATTCACAAATCTTCACGGTTTTACATTTACAAAGCACGACTGCCGTTCTGGAATCTCAGGAGCCTGCATCAGGCTTCCATAGACATGTGCAGTGCAAAAGGATATGGATAAATGTGGAAACATGCAGTAAAGTCTGGTGTTTGTTTTTGTTTTTGTTTTAAAAAGGGAAAGGCATTGTCAATCATATGGATTTATAGATGCCACAATTAAGAGTTTTAGTCCCATGGCATGGCTGCCATGTGAGCCCAGGATACTTGTCATTGCTGACCTTCTTAGCTTAACCGACCTCTGTACCTGGAGGACTGGAGGACTTCCGTGAGATGTTTAAACAGAGGGAGGTCCAGATTTTCCGAGGCAGGGCACCAGAGCTGGAAGCCAAAGGGAAGCAAAGCAATAAAGAGAGGCCATTTGGTCTGCATGCTAAAGAAAGGGGGGTGGTGGTGGTGGGTCAGCCTAGACTGCAGGAAACAGGCAATGGCTACCTCTTTCTGCCTTCTAGTTGCCCAGATTGTTGCAGCTCAGTCGGGGTCTATTTACACACCTCTCAGAAAGGGTTCTTTTCTCCTGGGAAACTGGCAGGTTGTGGGGAAATCTAGAACTCCTGACAATATTATGTGTCAGGGGTTTTTTTTATAGAGAGAATCATTCCATCAGAGTCGCCCCGATGAGATGGGTGGTGTAATAATAAATAATATATGATATGATATGACCTGAATTACTGCCTCAAGTGCCACTATCTCATATACACCGAAAGGGCTTCTAGGAAGGAGACATCTCTGTATGCCAGAAGTAGTTTTGTTTTAATATGTATTTTGAGAGGCTGATTGCCATGGCATATAGTAATTTTAATTAATGATGTCTCATAAGTGAGCAGGTTCACAATATTTTTTTTACTGCCAAACAAGATTGGGGAATTTTCTCTCCATTTATTGAGAGAGAATTTTGGAAGTAAAATTATAGGAAGATTGTGTTCTCCAGGGGCTAAAAAAAACCCTCATAAACCACCCAGATTACTCAGACCTTGCTGCCAATAAACAAACAAACAAACAAATAACGGCATCATTACCTGAAAATTGCACACAATATGTTGGAAGATCTCCACGTTCTTGATCGTCGGCTGTTCTAAGCCGGCTTCCGAGGGGCCTCCAATGGAAAGAACGAGATGCAGAATTCTGCTGTTTAATAGGTGGGCCTTTTTTTTCAACAGATATGCCAGAATCTGTAAAAGAATATAACCCAAAACCACAGCAGAGATGCTAACTCCACAGTATTTTATTTCTATTACTGGATAAACCATCAATAGCCAAGTATTACAATCCATGTTATTACATAATATAGCTATTCAATTAATTTTATGGAAAACCTGCAGCATTATGAAGACTCAGGGTGGACACAATATCTGGAAGGTAATGAAACTTGTCAACTTTAACCTTGTTCAGAATTCTTTAAGCATTCCTATTTTTCAAAAATCAAAAGGACAACTCTGTTTGTCCACTTTAAATCCACCCTTTCTTCTTAAGCAGAGCTTCAGCCACCACACAAAGACCTGGGAAATGAGACTAACTGGCCTTTCCTCTTCCCCGTCTGACTCGCTGGTCCACTGGAGTGGGCTTTCCGATTACCATAAAGCAAACAAAGGGGATTCTTGCCACCAAGACTGCTGTTGGAAGGGGAAGGTCTTTTTCATTAGAAGGACTCAAAATTCCAAGCTCCAAAACTTTTGGAAGTGACTGGGGAAAATGCCTTATCTCCTCCTCCAAAAATAGAATGAAACGATCATGAAAAATTATATTAATTTTGAATATGAAAATATTGAAAGAATGTGACAATCCACTTTTTTGTAATGAATTTCAGTGTAAGCCACAAATCAGGCTGCCAGCAAATACTTGCTGTTCAAGTCCTGCACTTCTGAATCAATGCACAAGCACAATCGGAATTCTTTTTTTTCTTTTTTTTTGCAGGGGGGACCCGTTTAAGCTCCAGTTCCCAAAAACTGCCCAGGAAGAGGCAGCAGCGTCTCACCTGATACCCATCGCCTCCCCGCATGAGGCTTTCGCTCACTGCGCTGCAGCTCAGGACGGTCTGCAAGACCTTGACAGCCGCATAAACAGCGTGGTCATCCTGAGCCCTGGCCAGCAGAGCCAGCAGAAGAGAAGGGCCACCCAGGTAGTTCAGACTGACCACTGCCGGACAGGACTGGAAGACCCGCGTTCCTGGACAAAGAGAGAGAAAATGCTGACAGGAATTGAATTGTCACTGAAAACCTGCTCAGGGTAAAATGAACAGCCAAAAACATTCTAGAGGTATGTAGAAACAACAAAAATAATAAGAATAGTAGTAATTTAGAAAATCAAATATTTTCTCATGCCACATGTAGATTTACATATCTCAAATGCTTACTTCTAGAAAGATCAATTGTTAAAGGAACATGTTATTTTTGCCCTGCATTTAACAAGAAACACCACGTCTTGTGCTTTTTAGTACAATTATTTCTACTTCATGGGCCTTTTTTCCATGTGTAAAAATCCTACTATCAGCCTGACTATTTAATCACCAACAAATAGCTAACCTGATAAAATGCTGTCCCAAAGACAACAATCCACAAACCAGCTCTTTTTGGAGCAGAGGTGACTTTCCCCACAAGATCCGGTGCAGACAGAAAACAACCTAGCTAGCAGATCACAGAATGGTCCAGGTTGGTTGAATTAAGGGAATTATTTTATGCTTTTTCAAATATTGCTCTCAAGATGCGGCAGCTTTTTCTTCTTTTTTTCTGTCCCTCCAGATCAGGACAATCTTCAGTTTCCTGACCAGCAATCTATAGGTTCCTGACCCTAGAAGTGGCATCCTCTCCAGCTTGCAAAGACGTCTTCTCCGTCATTTTGGACGCCAGTTGGTGGAATAAGGGTCAGGGTTAGGCATAGGTCTAAATACATGTTAGGAAGCTACAATTTTCTGTATAGGATGAAGCTTTGCATTTCTTTTATATTTCTGCTCTTTCATTTTACAGATTTTATTTATCTATTCATTCATGACATTTCTACCCTGCCCTTCTCACCTAAATGCCTCTGGATGGTTCACACTTTACAAATGTGGTCCAGGATGGATTTTGGCTTACCGTGCTGGCCCACCACAACGGCTCCAATTGTTCTTAAGCACCCAGGGAGCTCTGCAGCCGTATTTTGAGCCATGAAAACAGGTGTTGTATTATCACGGGAAAACAGCTTCAGCTAAAAAAAAAAAAAAGCATGCTGTATTAGAAGACAAAACAAACAGAAAATATGTTTTGGTTTGTTTCTTAAAAATTTCAAATACTATGCTGGGTGATTTATATGTTTACAATCTATTCATCTTGGTTTTATAAGAAATAGTTCAGATGTTCTAGACTGTTCCCCAAGAATTTCAGATTAAATCCTGAGCTACCTGGAAAGTGATTTTTGCATTATTGGCATAGAAAGAAACCAGAGTGACGTTATAGTGTCTGTGGTACCGAACTCTCTTCCTCGCCAGATAATAGCAAGAGATTCTGAGGCCTTGGTGGGGCCTGCCTCTTTCAAGCGGAGCAGCCCACACAAGCTCTCCGGCTTTGAGCTCAAAGGAAAGGGAGGCAGCTCTGTTTCCTCCGTATTTGTCAAGTGTCCTTAGAGACTTAGAGACAAATGTGCCACTAAAAGCTGGGGAGGGACTGAGCTAATGTTAATGGCCACATGTCAGTGATTGCAAGGCCATGGAAGAATCATAGATTTCTCACAGAAAATGTCAATTTTATGACATTGGGCATCAATATCTCCAACTGGGAATAATCTCTGCTGGGAGATCTCTGAAAAAGCCTCAGCGAGTCTCTGTTCCTTGGACCAAGGATTAGATTAGCCGTGTACTAATAAAGCACCGTTTAATCTAAATATGTTATCTCTAGTGAAACGCTCTTTCCCAAATGTTTTTTAACAGGAAAAAACCCCTTCTTATCTATCTTATCTCAGCAAGTGACAAGATCTGGCTGACTTTGTGTGAATTGGAATCAAAATAAGTTGAGGCCAAACCAGTAAGCTAAATTCAAAAGTTGAAAAACATGGTAAGAGAGGAAAAAGCATCTTTGGGATAGTAAGAGAAGCTGATGGCAAATAACCTCTGCATTGTTGGGAGGAAAATAATATAGACCCTTCGTTGCTCAGAGTCGCAGGACCGAAGCAGCATAGAAGTACGTGCAATAATAAACTCTGAGTCTTTACTTTTTCCTTACTTGTCATCTGTCTCCTTGAGTAGAAAGCTGAGACTGCAAAACCATTAGAAAAGGGGTGGCTTAAATTTTAGAATGCTGTATAGTGAAAACATGGGAACAGGTTTAACTTCACGTTCCTGGCTTGGAGTTCCTTAGCATTCTGAATCTTCTTAAGACGGCTGCTTGGATAAAGCCTGTCTCTCAAACTCAATGAACACAGCCTGGTCAAACATCCATGTCTAATTAGCATCAACTCCTTCTCTGTCCGAGGAACGGGACAACTCTAATTTTTCTGTGCACCGAATGACACAAAGGACCTACCTCTTTAGCGACCAGACGTCCATCCACTTCACCATAGCTGTCTTTTATGCCTTTAACTGTTGTATACAATGAGCATCTGGCGTTGATTCCAAAGGAAATCTTCTCTGGTGGCAACAAAGGAGCCATCTGCACATGGCCATGGGAGCCTTCTCCTGAAGGAAGAATCACACAAGGAGACAATGCAAGGGATCAAAGGAAGCCAGAAATTCTCAATCTCCAGTTCCAAAAATCAACAAAATCCTTGACTTCCCCCCACACTTAACAAGTCAGGCGATGCTCTGAGCCAAAATTATATTTCCTCAAAAACGGGTATCCACATTTATTTGGACTGATTCCAACCATCACATATTAATGGTTGCAAATCCTTTGGGGAGAAGGAACTGTAGCTGGCAGGTCAATGGCTAGCCTATTGCCCAGGCTTAATTAGACCTAATTTTCTCTTCTGCAATAGTCTATTTTTATGTCATTGAACATTTCCACCTGACAGTCTTGTTTTCTGGATGCTTTGAGAATTCCATGATGCTAGGGTCTGCGCGGTTGGTTGTGAGAGTTACCTCTCCTTCTGTCAAAATATGTCAAAATAATTCCATAGCTGGATCTGGTTTCTCTACCTTTCCGTGGCTGAATCCAGCACAGGTTGAAAGATAAATTTACTATACTGTAGTAGGAACGGTCACATAACCGGATCTAGTGAATGCTCAATCACATGAGAGCTATTTTACTGAAATCCCTGCAGCTACAGGTTTTACCTCTAAGCTGCACAGCCTGGAAATTGCTGTAGTATCTCGGACCAAGTTTTTCCATAAGCTGCAGAATTTTCATGGACAGAACTTCTTCAAATAAGAATATGGGGCCTTGGCGCCAAGACAAGCAGGACCTCTTTTTCCACATCAGCGGTGTAGCCACAAAGCCAAAGACATCGATAAAAGAAGCAGGGTCCATAGAAGTGAAGCTCCCTGGCAGTGACCGGATGTACTGCATCTGTAGTAGAAGAAAAAGGAAGAGCTGAAACCCTTGAGGTAGTTTCTCCCTGGAAAATGAGCCTGGACACAGAAGGCACGAGAAGAAGCAACGGATGGAAACTGATCAAGGAGATAAGCAACCTGGAATTAAGGAGAAACTTCCTGAAAATGAGAACAATTAACCAGGGAACCGGAAGTTGCCTCCCGGGGTTGTGGGTTCTCCCATCACTGGAGGTTTTTGAGAAGAGGCTCGAGGGCGCAAGGTCTCCTGCCTGAGCAGCGGGTTGAACTAGAAGCCTTCTAAGGCCCCTTTCAGCTCTATTCTGAATGAACTGGCTGTGTACTGAAACAGACGCATACATGTTGAACCTTCTCCTCAAGCACCCAGCTTTATATATTTTAGAAAGTTTTTTTACTGGAACATTGCAACCTATCCTACTTTTCTTGAATCGCCCTCCCCCCCCTCTATGCAAGGCAATCTGAAAAGAAATACCGTGGCATGAAAAGTAATCAGATTAGCTAACCCTTCTTTTTTCAGCCATGATCTTTGTCATGAAGCAGAGCTTAAGGCAAAGAATTCTTCATGCTGAGTCCAGCCGGCAGGGAAAGCCGAAGGAAGGAAGGAAGGAAGGAAGGAAGGAAGGAAGGAAGGAAGGAAGGAAGGAAGGAAGGAAGGAAGGAAGGAAGGAAGGAAGGAAGGGTCTCATTCTGCAAGACGTTTTACCTTCGCAGAGCCCACCAGGCTGCCGTTCAGATAGGCCGAAACGGTGCAGATCTGCTTCGTTTCTTTTGCCACCGTCACAGCAAGGTGATGCCACTGCCCGGTCACAAGCAGTGGGGCACATCTGAACTGAGCCTGGCACATGAGAGAGGTCTCATCTTCAAAGTCGGGCACCATTGTGTCTGTGTTGTCACAAAAAAAGGAACAATTTGCCACATTATAGTGAAGCAAAAGAGAAACATTTTACCGCAAGGTCAGGGAAAAAATGTTTGGGGCAAGATGGTGACAAAGTCTCTAGCAAAAAAAATTTCTTTTCCTTTTGAACACTGGAGGGCTACTTTTTGGACATCAACCACAGACAGCCCCAAAGACCCTCCCAGACACATCTACGGGCCATGCCTCGCCTAGTAAGAGCAGCCACCGAAAGGACTTCTGTGTAGATACGAGTTTGGAGTTAGAGGAAATTGGGACATGATGAGGGCAGAGGATCTTTTAGGTTTTTCAGTTCCGAGATCACTGGGGATCTGAATAAGGGAGTTTTATATTAGGGTTCTGCAGTGCTTTGGATTCAAGTCCTAAAAGGTTCTTCAGACCACGGACAGGCATGAAAGCAGCGCCTGTCTGGAACTGCTCAGATGCTGCTGCTTTAAAAGGAGTGGAGGCAGGTGTCAAGCTTGCAACTGCACTCAATCCAAAAGACCTTGTAGACTTGAAGCAAGCCTGTTGTGTGCTCTGATGGTTTAGAGGCAGTTGTAAGTGCTGCTTCCAAAACTGGACTTTGCAAAAGGGCTCAATGTAGCCCTGAGAGGGAGAGGGAGGGAGGGAGGGAGGGAGAGAGAGGGAGGGAGGGAGGGGGGGAGAGCGCATTACTGCAATCTGAGCAATGACCAGGAATGGGTACCCCCAGTCTCTTCATGAAACGAAGGGTGGGCATCACGTGCTCCAGAAACACACTCGGAAAGAAGCTCTCTAACCACAGTGGTCACTGACGCTCCAATTTCTTTGCTTGGCCATATCTTGATTAGAGAACTGCAAGGAGATCTCACATAGGATTTGAAAAGCATGTGCACCATGCATTTATGCCTGTGCTGAAGAACTGAAAATGTTTTCTGGGCACAAATTCAGATTTGGGTTTTAATTTTTCAGGTAACTCAGGGCTTGAGGATTTTAAATGTTCTTCTACATCTCAGGCCTTCTTTGTCAACCTCCTTTCACTGGGGCCGTAGATGGGCCCTCCAGCCCTGAGATCCTCACCTAAAGCTTCGAATGCCACTTCCTCCGTTGAGATGGTTAGACAACCTTCCGTGGGAGAAAACCTCACAGCAAAGCAAACAAAGACTTCTTCGGTTCTTGCCATGTGACGCACCAAAGTAAGGAAACGTAGCGGGTGGTAATCACGAGCAGAACTCATCTTATTGATCATAAACCAGGAAGAAAAAGTCAGGCCATCCGGTGGAGGGAACCGCCTGATGCCTAGGAGGGCAGAGAAAGGGATAAATCAGAGACTGCTGAGAGCAACGGAGAGACACTGCCCAAGCCAGGTGGGACAAGACACTGTGACACAAAGCCCCTTAGGAAAAATGGGTTTACAAAACGTACAACTTCCACTTTGGCACAGGAGGAGCAGACTGTATGATGGTTACATCCAGTTTATGCAAGAAAAATCAGGCTTTTCAAAGTCTTGAATCAAAAATAAACTCCCCAATGAATTAGTGAAGCTTCTAGGTCCAGCCTTTCTTGAACAAGTGCAAATTATCTTCAAAGCTTATTGCTGTTCCCATCCTTTCTTCTCTGGGATGATCTCAAAGTCTCAAGAGAAATACACTTTATAAACACTCCTATATACGTACGTATTAATCTATCTATAACCTAATTATAACACAGGCCTCAAGCCTTCAAACCTCTGAGCCATAAACACACTGCCATCCGTAGCATTACAGCCAACATTTTGAAGACAGTATTTTAAAAATCTACCTTTTCCGGTTCCTCCCAAAACGGAGCGTTCGGTGCTTTGGCCCAGAATGGTGGCCACGCTTGGGATAAAGAAACAGCTGCAAACATAAGAAAGTAAAAACAGTAATAGATGTATTTCTTTTTAAAGGAATAGAAATAGAGATAAACGACCACAAACTTTCCCAACATAAAGCAAAATCTCTCTCCCAATTACTCCTGAATCACCCCTTTCCGTTTTGTAATTCCTATGACTACTCAGTAGAAATAAATATAAGACAAGATGGATCTTTTGAAGAGCGGCAGTTCCTCACTTTACAGTTTCACAGATAATGGTGCTGTGTGAAACTTTAAATGAAACACCCCAATTTACTTCTCAAAGCAAAACAATTTCCCCCCAAAAACCCGTGTTGCTTTGCAGCTTCGGAGCCCCCTCAGCCTTTTCCCACAGAGATGCCCCCAAGAAAGAGGAGCCTCCACGGTCCAGAGGGGGGGCCTTCCCCAGGCGTGGGCAACCCTGAAGCGCTGGCCAAAGCTACCCAGCCTGGAGCTGGCTCTGGACCAGGTTTGGCAACAATGGCGGTCGGGAGAAAGCCAGCGCCCATTCAGAGCCCTTGCCGAAAGTGCTGTGAGGAAGGCAAGCAGCACACCCTGAAACCTGCACCGGGGAGGGGATCCCACAGTGATGGGGGGGTGGACGGGGGGTGGACCTTCCCACCGCATGTGCTGGATGTGGGCAGCCTTGTTACATGCTGAAGCTCACCCAGGGTTATGGCAGCTCCAGAATGTGTGTTGGACATAGCCAGGCTGGAGACACACACACACACACACACACACACACACACACTTTGGCACGAGAAAAGATCTTCTAGGCTGGTTATCTCCACCCACCCCACCGATACGTTTCTCCTCCACTCATGCAGAAGACAAAGTCTCCAAACAGGACCGTATCCACTGAGGAATAACTGAACTGCTCTTCACCCCAAATAAACAGCAACTGCACTAACCAATATGTTGCCTAACATATTAGGTAGCTAGCCTGGCCATTCAAAGATTGATACACAAAGACAGCTTTATTTTTGTACTTCTCTGAATTCTGCAATTCCACGCTCCCTGTTCTCCTTTATAGCAAAATGTGCATTAAAAGTTCCATAAAGGCATCTGAACACATGAGGAAGTGTTACAAAGAGACGGACTTCCTTGCTGCCTAGAAATAGTTATTCAGCACTGTAACCGTAGGAGCTACAAAAAATGCTTCTACATGAAATTCAAAGGGCTACATCATTTGACATCCGTCTGGTACCATTTCATCCCCGAGGTTAAATATAACTCCCCACACACACACACGAATGTTCCCCACACATGCTCTAAATGCTGCCAGAAAAATATGTAGTTCTCTCCTTAAATACGTGGGGAAAAATAATATTAAGTGTATTTAAATTTAAGTGTTGAAAATTTTAAATAAGGTCAAATTACATTTTATCCTATCCCTACTCAATTCTTCATCTTAATCATGCTCTTTGGGGATGGGTGTCCCTCCCCCTCCCAGACCCCATTCAAAAACAGCTCAAAAATTGTGCATCTCTGGCCTGCACTAAGCAGGATTGGCTCAAAACACTTTAAGGAGGACTTGAATGACATGCTCATGTATGTAAACAGCACTAGATATGTAAGGATAGTCTTGCTGACTTAGCCACAGGGGAATTTCCATGCATATTTCCCATTATACATTACAGAACTATGAGCAATAACAAAAAGGGGAAATGAGAAACCTCTGTCTGTAACCAACATTAGGCATCTAAACAACATGATTGATTGATTGATTGGTTGGTTGATTTTTGAACTATCCGCAGATCGAAGTAGCCTCCATGGAACCAAAGGCAAAGGACCTGGAGGCTGAGAGGAGGAATGGCGGAAGGAGAAGCACAAATCAATGTATTACCCGTATCCTTCGAGGGACATGTCAAACTCCACGAAGGAAGGCGCCAGGCAGGCGTTCTGCAGGTGCAGGCTGCGTGGTGTTGTCAAGGAAATAAGGCTCATGGCCGTTTGGAGAGCCATTGCAGAGCCCGTGGGGGTGTCAGAGCCCAACGGGGCGTGAGGAGGCTTTGTGCTGTCGTTCCATGCAGCTGTTCCAGAACCTGATGCAAGACACATGCCAAGTCAGGGATACCACCGCAGGTTCCAACCTGGGAACTTTGAGAGACACGGCAGAAAGAAGTAACTAGAGAAACACCAGCAAAGCATTCCACAGTTGTGAGCTGGATGCTTCCTTCAGCACCCTCATCACTTCAAAAGGCTGCTGAACGAATGGATGCCAAGCAGGGGGGGCGGTCTGCCTGTACTGACTCTGCCCTCTCGGGCAGGGCAGGACAGGTCCATTCGCTCTTCCCTCTGAGAATTCTTCATATATTTGAAAGCTACTAACATCTTTTTGTAGATTAAACAGACCTTTTAGCTGCTTCTCGTAGGGTTTGGTTTGCAGATCCACAATCTTCTGGGCTGCCCTGCTCTGGACTCGGCCCAATTCCTCTTTGTCACTTAGGGGTGCCAGGGGGAGGTTCACATGGGGTGGGGCAGCGATGGGAAGGGACATCATCCGTAGGCACAGAAATTGTCTGAAAGAGATCGAGCGAAGGACAAATGTCACACAACCAAAAAGAAGGGATGCCTGGACGAGGCATCTAGGCAGTAGGTGCGTGGCAGAGGTGGGGGGGGGGGGCAAAGACGAAGTGGGNCAAGACACTGTGACACAAAGCCCCTTAGGAAAAATGGGTTTACAAAACGTACAACTTCCACTTTGGCACAGGAGGAGCAGACTGTATGATGGTTACATCCAGTTTATGCAAGAAAAATCAGGCTTTTCAAAGTCTTGAATCAAAAATAAACTCCCCAATGAATTAGTGAAGCTTCTAGGTCCAGCCTTTCTTGAACAAGAGCAAATTATCTTCAAAGCTTATTGCTGTTTCCATCCTTCCTTCTCCGGGATGATCTCAAAGTCTCAAGAGAAATACACTTTATAAACACTCCTATATACGTACGTATTAATCTATCTATAACCTAATTATAACACAGGCCTCAAGCCTTCAAACCTCTGAGCCATAAACACACTGCCATCCGTAGCATTACAGCCAACATTTTGAAGACAGTATTTTAAAAATCTACCTTTTCCGGTTCCTCCCAAAACGGAGCGTTCGGTGCTTTGGCCCAGAATGGTGGCCACGCTTGGGATAAAGAAACAGCTGCAAACATAAGAAAGTAAAAACAGTAACAGATGTATTTCTTTTTAAAGGAATAGAAATAGAGATAAACGACCACAAACTTTCCCAACATAAAGCAAAATCTCTCTCCCAATTACTCCTGAATCACCCCTTTCCGTTTTGTAATTCCTATGACTACTCAGTAGAAATAAATATAAGACAAGATGGATCTTTTGAAGAGCGGCAGTTCCTCACTTTACAGTTTCACAGATAATGGTGCTGTGTGAAACTTTAAATGAAACACCCCAATTTACTTCTCAAAGCAAAACAATTTCCCCCCAAAAACCCGTGTTGCTTTGCAGCTTCGGAGCCCCCTCAGCCTTTTCCCACAGAGATGCCCCCAAGAAAGAGGAGCCTGCACGGTCCAGAGGGGGGGGGCTCCCCCAGGCGTGGGCAACCCTGAAGCGCTGGCCAAAGCTACCCAGCCTGGAGCTGGCTCTGGACCAGGTTTGGCAACAACGGCGGTCGGGAGAAAGCCAGCGCCCATTCAGAGCCCTTGCCGAAAGTGCTGTGAGGAAGGCAAGCAGCACACCCTGAAACCTGCACCGGGGAGGGGATCCCACAGTGGTGGGGGGGTGGACGGGGGGTGGACCTTCCCACCGCGTGTGCTGGATGTGGGCAGCCTTGTTACATGCTGAAGCTCACCCAGGGTTATGGCAGCTCCAGAATGTGTGTTGGACATAGCCAGGCTGGAGACACACACACACACACCCACACACACCCACACACACACTGTGGCACGAGAAAAGATCTTCTAGGCTGGTTATCTCCACCCACCCCACCGATACGTTTCTCCTCCACTCATGCAGAAGACAAAGTCTCCAAACAGGACCGTATCCACTGAGGAATAACTGAACTGCTCTTCACCCCAAATAAACAGCAACTGCACTAACCAATATGTTGCCTAACATATTAGGTAGCTAGCCTGGCCATTCAAAGATTGATACACAAAGACAGCTTTATTTTTGTACTTCTCTGAATTCTGCAATTCCACGCTCCCTGTTCTCCTTTATAGCAAAATGTGCATTAAAAGTTCCATAAAGGCATCTGAACACATGAGGAAGTGTTGCAAAGAGATGGACTTCCTTGCTGCCTAGAAATAGTTATTCAGCACTGTAACCGTAGGAGCTACAAAAAATGCTTCTACATGAAATTCAAAGGGCTACATCATTTGACATCCGTCTGGTACCATTTCATCCCCGAGGTTAAATATAACTCCCCCCACACACACACGAATGTTCCCCACACATGCTCTAAATGCTGCCAGAAAAATATGTAGTTCTCTCCTTAAATACGTGGGGAAAAATAATATTAAGTGTATTTAAATTTAAGTGTTGAAAATTTTAAATAAGGTCAAATTACATTTTATCCTATCCCTACTCAATTCTTCATCTTAATCATGCTCTTTGGGGATGGGTGTCCCTCCCCCTCCCAGACCCCATTCAAAAACAGCTCAAAAATTGTGCATCTCTGGCCTGCACTAAGCAGGATTGGCTCAAAACACTTTAAGGAGGACTTGAATGACATGCTCATGTATGTAAACAGCACTAGATATGTAAGGATAATCTTGCTGACTTAGCCACAGGGGAATTTCCATGCATATTTCCCATTATACATTACAGAACTATGAGCAATAACAAAAAGGGGAAATGAGAAACCTCTGTCTGTAACCAACATTAGGCATCTAAACAACATGATTGATTGATTGATTGATTGGTTGGTTGGTTGGTTGGTTGGTTGGTTGATTTTTGAACTATCCACAGATCGAAGTAGCCTCCATGGAACCAAAGGCAAAGGACCTGGAGGTTGAGAGGAGGAATGGCGGAAGGGGAAGCACAAATCAATGTATTACCCGTATCCTTCGAGGGACATGTCAAACTCCACGAAGGAAGGCGCCAGGCAGGCGTTCTGCAGGTGCAGGCTGCGTGGTGTTGTCAAGGAAATAAGGCTCATGGCCGTTTGGAGAGCCATTGCAGAGCCCGTGGGGGTGTCAGAGCCCAACGGGGCGTGAGGAGGCTTTGTGCTGTCATTCCATGCAGCTGTTCCAGAACCTGATGCAAGACACATGCCAAGTCAGGGATACCACCGCAGGTTCCAACCTGGGAACTTTGAGAGACACGGCAGAAAGAAGTAACTAGAGAAACACCAGCAAAGCATTCCACAGTTGTGAGCTGGATGCTTCGTTCAGCACCCTCATCACTTCAAAAGGCTGCTGAACGAATGGATGCCAAGCGGGGGGGGGGGGGCGGTCTGCCTGTACTGACTCTGCCCTCTCAGGCAGGGCAGGACAGGTCCATTCGCTCTTCCCTCTGAGAATTCTTCATATATTTGAAAGCTACTAACATCTTTTTGTAGATTAAACAGACCTTTTAGCTGCTTCTCGTAGGGTTTGGTTTGCAGATCCACAATCTTCTGGGCTGCCCTGCTCTGGACTCGGCCCAATTCCTCTTTGTCACTTAGGGGTGCCAGGGGGAGGTTCACATGGGGTGGGGCAGCGATGGGAAGGGACATCATCCGTAGGGACAGAAATTGTCTGAAAGAGATCGAGCGAAGGACAAATGTCACACAACCAAAAAGAAGGGACGCCTGGACGAGGCATCTAGGCAGTAGGTGCGTGGCAGAGGTGGGGGGGGGGCAAAGACGAAGTGGGACTGCCAGTTGCATCGGCCAGCGGTTCTGGAGGACAGGATTCTTGAAAGAGGCTGCCACGGGCCTTGGGGGACTCTCGGAGTGTTACCAGTTGCACCTCTGTGGCATGTTACCAACAGTGTTGTTCCCAGTGAAGATAATAATAATAATAATAATAATAATAATAATAATAATAATAATAATAATAAGAAGAAGAAGAAGAAGAAGAAGAAGAAGAAGAAGAAGAAGAAGAAGAAGAAGAAGAAGAAGAAGAAGAAGAAGAAGAAG